TGGTTTCTAAGGTTGACCAAGTATGAACTAGAAACTGCAAACATGTTTGTTGGACAACTCATCTAGTTTCTAAGATTGACGACATAACCAGAAACTGGCAGGTTGTTGCTCCCGCCGAGATGTCGCTTTGAGCGCGCTCACGCTCCAGGCCGTGGGCCATGAGCTTCGCGGGGTCCAGGGAGATGGGCAGCTTTCCCGTCTCTATGGAGGCGTGGCCCTTGGACGAGGAGTCCTCCGCAGCGAAGACTTTTTAGGAAAAGGGGAGGCGCCCCTGAATTTGGGACGATCCTCCAGAATGCGAAGTTGACACTGCAAGAAGGCCTATTGGCATCGTTGGAATGGGGGGTATTTTTGGGCGTCCTCACTTTGAGGTTCGCTACTGTTTGGAACGGATTCAGACATGTTGCTTCTGGTTGCGTGTCAAAAGCTGGGATAGTTCTGGAGTACATGAAGGCCAAATTCAGTCATCATAGGATCTGCTTGGTGAGTAAATCATTCAGCCCCTCATATCAGTCAGGGTTGGGAAGCAATTTCCGCCTTAGCTTGGCCATATGGATTTCGGTGCCCCGAAATACATACAAGACTCACAGCTCGCATGGACATGACTATGGGACATAGTGGCTTTTGGGGCCACTTTCCGTGATACGGAACAACTCGTCTTTTGACATTTGGTAAGGGGACCCCCCTAGATAACAAAAGAAACAGTTTTTTGTTTAATTTTCGTTTGGTGACCTTTTTAGACCAGACAATGGTCCATTTACGCAACCCATTCCCACTGCGTTGGTGGAAGCTCGAAGACCTGAGATATTCAGAGGGTATCTCTCGAGTGCTACCAGGTTGACCCCAGGCACACACACACACACACACGCACACGAGGGCTGTGTTCCTCGGTTGACAAGTCAGTGAAACGAGACAAGCAGCTCAAATGAAACAACTTGGCTCCCTGAGTGTGTTGAAACAGAGGATTGTGTGCTTTGTTTCCTTTGAGAAACCTTGCCACAATGTCAAGAACCCGGGACATGAGCCATGTGGCTATCCATGTTAGCAGGCAGCAATGGTTGTTGGTTTGAGTCCCACAAATTCAAGTGCCTTTGATTGATAGGCATCTTTTGGTCGTGTTCACAACCACAAGCGGACCATGACCACATCTTTGGACGATTCCCGCCCGCCCCGAGCACTCTTTCTGAGAGGACAACCACAAGTGACCCCCGTTTGAACTGGTTCGTTCATCCTACTCTCCCTTTCTGACAGGGGTTCTGGAAAAAGCGGGTCCCTTGTGGGTTCCAAAACCCCCCCCCCTTTCCTGTGTCCCCCCCCACAAAAACAAACAAACAAACACGGAAGGCACCCTTGAACGTGTCCCCCCCTTCCTGTGGGAGGGTATTTCAGGCGACCATGGCCACAGGGAATTTGGATCGCCGCTAAAACATGGGCGCCAGTCGACAGGCCCTCAGCTGCGTGCGGGAGGCACTGCATGCCGCTCGTCAAGGGGAACTGGGTGACTCTGGGGGCTGAAAATCTAGGATTCTTTGACTAGGTCCCCCAGCCACTCGTTCGGAAGTGAGTTGGGGATCCAAGTCTTATTTCAGTGTCCAGTCCTTAACAACAAACAAAAAAAAAAAAACATAAACAAAAACAACAAAAGTGGGCATTCCTAAGGGGGTATTCCACGATTCAACGCTACGTTCTAACGCAGGCTCCAACAACTGGTTTTCCACGGCCGCCCAAGGCCTCCGCCCTCGCCGCAGAGGGCGCGGCCCTGCGGCTGGGAGCGGGGCGGCCCTGGGGTTGGGTCCTTTCTTCCCTTAAGCAAAAGGGAATCCATTCTAAGCGAAGCTGCCATCTTTTGGACTTTGGCTGAAATGAAGACTTGTTTTATTGTCCCATGGTTTTAAAGTTGGACTCGATTTCACTACTGGCAATAGTGTCTCGCTTTACCCAGGGGGCGCAAAAGTAAATGGAAGCTTTTGGTGGTACTTTTGGGGTTGGTTTAAAGGAAAGCCAAAAGGAAACCATCCATTGTGGGGGTTCCCCCTGTTTTGAGACAAGAAAATATGGGCTTGGCCTTTTTTTTTAAATGGTTTTCAAGGGAAACCAAGAGGGAAAATCCACCTACTGTTGGGGTCCGCTAAAGGACAGACCTATAGCCTGAACTTCATGGACAATCTCCGGGGAGCGGGGACGCACCCCCGTAAAGCAATCGGGACATGTTGTAGGGAATGCTTGGTTTGTTTGCGTCTAACTACCCTCCTTACAAATGGACCTGCCTTCGTGCAGCCATCCGGTCGAATGACCAGTTTTGCCAACCCCAAGGTCAGCTAGTTCCAATGGCGAACACTGCTGCATGAGGCAGCACACCCGCACACCTTGAAGGACTCTCTATGTCTGCCACACATTCCTACCGGTGTCTTCCCCAAACAAATGCAATTGAGCACATGTGACGCTAGCTGTCAGAATTTATCCTTGCCCACAACTCCCCATCTGGATGGAGGCAAGATCGTGCAACATTGGCCACGAGTCGACACCTGGTGCGCGCCCTCACGGCCATGCCTGGACAAGTTGAAGGGGATGGTGGCGTAATTTGCTTCAGTGCCCCTCAACCTTCGAATCACTTAGGCCCTTGTGGTGCTCGGATATTTTGGTTCTTGATGTGGGTTGCTCGATTCTGGTGGCATGTGTTTTTCCTCTTTTCTTTTCTTTTTCCATTTTTTTTTCGCAAGCTCACCTTTTGCGCATCGGAACGGCTTGGAACAGGACGGGCAAAAGCAGCAGCCTCGCAAGCAAGTCAGAAGAGTGAAGAACATCGAAGGCATCCAAGCTGAGACTTGGGAGCAGCTAAAGGGTCCAAGGAGTTTTGACTCACAGGCACATTCAGCTTGACGGGGGGGACCCACAAAATGTTCCGTTTTGTGAAGTTCCTTCACAGCCTGATACACTACCCAAAAAAGCGCGGGCTCTGACCTTCGGACCCCCTTCCCCTTCACTGTCAGATCCTCAAACCCTGAACTCTCGCGCGTATCTCTGCTCAGGTCGCCGAGTGGATCGCCAACCAGGCGTGGCGTTGGGGTCAATGTGGAACTAGGGATGCGAAGGCTGGAGGACTCATGTAGGTGTCTTTTTTTGAACAATCCTCGCTTGGGTTGGTGTCGAACAGAAGTCAAGAGGAAACCAACCATTTTGGTGGTACCCACATTTAGACATATGTATACATATATATATATATATAATATATATATATATATATAATATATATAAATATATATACCTAGAACATCCGATGTGTAAAATTTATGCCGTTTGATGAAAAAGCACAAATTTCCGTCGTTTCATTTCAAATCCGCCCTTTCGATTCAAACGTGCTCTTTGGAGCCTTGCTTCCTTCCATAGTTTTCCTGGAGCGGGCAGCGTATTCAATGGCAGGAAAATCCGCTTTTTGACCGGCAAAATCCGCTTTTTGACCGGCAAAATCCGTTTTTTTCGCGAAAATCATGAGTGCAGAAGTTGCAGAATTATCGAAGATTCCATGATTAGGAAAAACGCTCGCAAATTTGAAAAGCGCTCGCAGGGGTGAAAAAGCAGATATTTCTGAAAAAGCAGTTATTTTACACACAATGGAGGTCCTAGGTATATATATATGTGTGTGCCATGGTCTAAGACCCTCTTGGGGTGGATCGGGACAGTAATGACCTCGGCAAGGATCGCCAAGTTTGGAGACCATCGTTTCTCTTGGTTCCACCCTCGATGGCCCTCGGAGTCTGGACACTGGCGGTGAATTTGGTGTGCTTGAAGGAAACGGGGACAGTGCCCAGAAGCTTCTAATGTTGACCCCATATTAATCAACCCCAGTTTATTAATAGGGTGTTCCCCCTTCCAAAGGTGATGATTCCCCACTAAACCCAGGGACACCCCCCTACTAATGACACCCCCTACTAATAAACTGGGGTTGATTACAATGGGGTCAACATGAACCTCTTGTTTTGGGGGGGGGGGGGGGGCGGGGTTCGGGTGTTCTGTGTGAAACCAATGGCCGCAATTGTCGAGATATTCCTGTGTAGGGATGGTGGCTTGAACAGCTGGATGGCCGCCTTGCCATTTGGAAACATTTCAAAGAAAGGGGACTTTTTAGGATGGTGGCTTTCCTCTTAGTTTCCCTTTGAACCAACCTGAAAGAGAATCCTGCAAGTAACATTTATGCCCAGGGAGGTTTTCTCTGCATGGGGGTTCTGAATGGCGGAGCCACACGAAGGCGTCCCTTGAAATCCAGCCCCCAACCCGCTGCCAGGCTGCGCGCGGGCCCTCGCGCCACTCGCCACAGGCACGGCTACCCGCTTAGCTGATGGTGCCCAGGTCTCACGGAGTCGCTGTGGTTGCAACCACCTCATGTTTGTCCAAGCGGGGCCCGGGTAGAGGGCGCTCTATTTGGTTGTTTCCCTCTAACTTGCTGGTGCTCAGCAGGTAATAATGAACCCAGGATTCACCTAAAGGAAACTATGAGGGGTGTCGTTTTCAGGGTACTATTTGTTGTGTCGCGTTCAAGGGAAACTAACGAGACCTCACCCACGTTGCCCTCGTTTGTGCCCGCGTCTGTAGACAAGCCCAAATGAAAACCCGACAAGAGAAGGCAATGCGTAGAGGAAACGCCATCCTTGATGAAAGCTTCTTGGCAAGCGTGCAAGTGTTCTGCTTGGGGCCTGCGGGGCAAAATGAGCCAATATACAAATCGGGCAATCAAAGGTTTCTAGGGGGGGGACAGTGTCAGCCATAAATATGTGGTTGTTACGGTATCCGCCATGTTGATTCTTCACAGGGCTTTGCATCGACTTCTTGAATACCTAGTTTTTATTATAAGGAATTCGGAATACGTGAAGTTCCCGGGAAAGACCCGTCACTCACTATTGGAGTCATGTTGTCTGGAATTGTTGGACGGTGATATTGTTGTTCGCTATTAAGAAGTTCATTCAAGCTGTGATGGTCTTATGCCAGGGGACTGCGCTGAGTGGTTGGCTTGCTTGTTCCCAAGAAAGCCATCCAAACGGGGGCAGTCGCTCTATTTGAGACATGTCTCGTGTGCTTTTTTTTGCGTGTGGCAAGTGCGTAGAGCAAAGGAAGCTGGTCAGTCATGGCCACCAGTCACAGACCCACAAAAAGTCGAGGAGAATTCAGGTGGGGTTGTCAAAAGGACCCTTTATGGCCCTAGCAGGCTAAAAAAGCGCCAAGTGAGTGCGAAAGAAAGCCATCCCGGTGTCGAAATCACCTTGAACGCCCGGCTTGGAACCCACTTTCAGACTTACACCCCGCGCAGGCAAGCACTTTCTATCGTTCCACTCAGTTCACGCGGACTAGCGAGAGATATGTGAGTGTGTCTCAAAAAGTGAGGGACCCTATGTCATGGCCGGTGCTTTTCTTTCCAACCAACAAAGAGGGTACCCCCAAAAAGATGCACCCATATGTAAACCTTTGCATGGAGATGGAAACTATAAAGCAAGTCCCGTCATTTTGCAGCTCCAGTTTTGCAGGTTGGAGAAATGTGTTGGGCAGTCCCCTCTCGGTTTCTGGTGATAATATTGGTTTCTGTGGATGTATTTTTTTGATTTTCATTTGTTTGGTTGGTTTTTAAACAAAGCCTCAAAGGGTCTCATAATTTTGAGACAAAACCCACGTAAACCTGTGCGAGGAGATCCTTCACTTTTGAGGGAAACACTTGATTATTCTGGGGTCGACATGAGTCTGCACACATGATAGCGAGCTTGGAGGTTCCTTGGGAGTTGGTGGATGCTGGTACTCAGTATTACTCTGTTTTTCCGCATGGCAAGCTCACCAAAAGTCGCCCAAAAGTCATTGAGCTTTGTGCGCCCTGTGAGCGCTTGCGAGGCGTTGCTGGCATTGGGCCGTGTGGCCGGGATGCTGAGAGGAAGCCGACGCATGAGTTGCCCTCCCCATGGGCCTTGATGGGCGGGAAGCCACTTTGGAATCTCTTTTTTACTTTATGGCTATTTGGTTGGATCTTTGGACTTTAACTTTTTGGAAAACCCGCCCTTTAGTAATCTTCAGATATGTCACTCGCCAAAGGCCGGAGTAAGTCACTGAGCGAGAACAAAGTCTTTCTACTACAAAACACATGTTGGTTCTCTTTTGTTTTCTTCTCTCTTTTTTCAAATAGGTGACGTGTACGATGCTTGTTTCTGCGGTTCTTTAGGGGGGTTATTTTTCCTGATTGGTGCAGCTTTCTTGCCCACCCTGTAGACTTCAGTGACTGGAAGAACTTGCCCTTTCTCATTGTTGGGTGAAATACCCAGACCTCCGGTGCGTGTTTGTTCCTTTGTCCCCCAACAAAAGGTGGCCATTCGTTCCGTTGAAATCAATACACTTTTTGTCCCAACGTCAAGGTCTCAGGCAGATTGGGGGGGTGTTTCCCCAAGGCAAAAGGTTCGGGGAATTCGACTCAACGGTCAGCGTGTTTTGTAAACTGGAACGATTTGGAGGGAGGTTTGAGGATTTGGTTTATGTGTGCTTGCATCACATGGGACTTCTCGTTGGGTCTTCCTGCAAGGACCTTATCCACCTTATCCTTGGGTCTTCCTTCAAGGATCCCAAAGAAAATGCCAAGGTTCAATGGCGGGGCATGTGGTTGCATTCGGTATCAGTTTGTGCCACTCAAACACCATGTCAACGGTGAAGAGAAGCCCGTGTTTCGCGGAAAGATATGACAATGCGGGCCCCACTGCTAGGGTGTCTACATAGCAGGGTTTCAGCATGGTTATAAGGGGTCTACCCCCGGTACCCCTGTTTTTGCAGTGGTTGGAACCCACCTACTAAATTGGTTGAAATGACCAGGTGGCAGAGCGTCAATGGCGCACGTCCTGCGCGCGGAATCGCAAGTTTCCCTCTGTGTGCCACCAGGGAAGCGCAGGAGTTGTTTGGATGCTGACACTCAACTTACCTCTTAAAAAAAAAACACAACTCTTCAACTTTTTGGGTAACATGGGCTATATGTCTGTAAAATATTAGCTTCCCCAGGGCGCAGGGAGTTTTAAGGGGTAAGTCAAGGATTCATGTGAAGATAGGCAGCTTTGCTTGCAGATGTTTGAGTTGTTTGGGGCCTGGGGTGATGCTTGTAGGGGTTATTTAGTCGGAGCCCACCCACCTTAGCTTCACGGATTGGGCGAAATTTGAAGCAGGCGAACCTCGCATGCAGCCCCAGCATTCTTGGTTGAAATTTTGGACCCCTGCGGGTTCCACGTATTTCCGTCAGGGTGAAACTACCTCCTCTTAGTTTGATATTAACGGCGGCCTGAGTCACGCGCCAACAAATTTCGCCCCATGGCGATCACACCGTTCAGGTGGCCTGAAATGCTGAGGTTGGCGCTTTGCTTCAGATGGCAAGCCGGGCGCCCGGAACCGAAGGTGCGGTCTTTTAGGCGACAGGGACATCACTGGAACCTCCGAAAGAAACTCTAATATTGTAGTCTGATTATGAAACCAAAAAGGTATATTTTCTGACACTTGTTGTTAAAATGTTGTTAAACTTTCCCCAGATGTGGGCCATCAGGAAAGATTGAGCTGTTTTGCAGACACGAATGACTCTTTCCATGTGACTCAGCTTTCCGAACTGGGAAGAGGTTGGTGTCTATGCAATCGGGCAGGCGAATTTGTTGCTGAGTCTCAATGCCGAGTCGAAGTGGCCCTGATGCATATCACATGGACAATTGCCGATCAGTTCTACAGGTTCCATGGTTGATTCCTTGATTCCTGAGTCCAGTTGGGTCAGTTGCTTGGTGAATGGATGCTTCAATTAGGGCGCTCAAGCAACCGAAAGGGGGCGATGTGTTCGAGTTCCCCAAACCTCAGGCAACCGAGGGTTGAATGGGGGAAAAGACTACCATGCATATGGGTGCGTCTTCTTGTAGGACCCCCGAACATGGATTGTTGGTGTTCTTGTTGGTTTCTATTTAAAGACAAGCACGGGCACCCTCAAAAACAGACACGCCCATATCAAGGGCAATCAGTTTACCTGTATCTTTTCCGCCGCACGCCGAGTCGAGGCCGCGCTGAGAGCAGATTGGCCGATGGGCTGCAATTGCTGGCCATAGGCGCGGTTGGATCTGGGGTTCTGAAAGTTGTCTTTGGGGGTGGTTTCCCTTTCAACACCCATTTCTTGGTGGCCCCCAGCCGTCCCCTTAGCCTTTTAGGCCTTTAGTGTTTAGTGGTAGTTTCCATTTAAAAGTTAAACTTTTAACGGGGATCTGAGGGCACCCAGAGTTGTCTTTGGGGGTTGTTTCCCTTTTAACACCCATTTAGAGGCCATGTTTTGCGGATATCAGTTCAATTTTTTGACCAGTCTGTTTCTGGACTTCAGAGCTCGCAAAGGGAATTCTTCATTTCCCAGAAACACAGGCGGGGCATTCCGAAATTCGCATGGACCTGTTTGACACCCTGTGGTCACTCTGTTCTCTTTGGCGCTCGTCTCGGTTTGTGGACGTGTGCTCGTGCGGTCTGAAAGCACTGGATTCCCCAGTTCGGACGGTGTTCGACCACCTCTTTGGCAAAGACGAATGAAAGTACAATTGGAACCAACACGTCCGTGCCTCTTTTTTTTTCCCCGGTGCCCTCCGTATCCACGCTGTGGCGACCTTGAAGGTGCCTTTCAGATGGTAGCGTAAAGAATACATAACTTGGTTCCCGGCCATCCGGCTTCAGTTTTTAGTTGGTTCAGCGGTTGAGTTTCCATTTCACCCACAAGTTAGACCATTGGCAGGGGATCTGAGGACAGCCAAGATAAACGAAACTGGCTCGTTTCAGAAATCAAGCTCATTAAAGGAGAAACAAAAGGGGTTCCTTTTGTATTTGGTGGGTTCCTTCATGGTCAAGATACATGGTTCCTGAAAAGATACAGCTTGGCCATCCAAAATTGCTTTTCTCCAAGACCAAAAGCAACCCACCATGTTGGGATAGTGCTCAGGTGGATGATCTCAGAACCGATCACATTAATCAGCCAGATGGCAGCAGCCTGGGCCACTGGTTTTGGTGTGCGTTTGGATGCCCGTTGTTTGTTGCTTCCGTTCTTTTGTTTCTTTTGTGTTTTTCCCGTCAAAACACCATCCAAAATGAAACCTCAACGTGAGGAGCCGGTGATGCTTGATTTTTCCCTGGTGGTCTCTCAAAAGGAAAAATGGCCACGGCTGGCAAGCTGCTTCCTTTTTTTTAGTGGCACAAAGGCACAAAGGCACTGGGAGTTTCCCCTTCGAAGGGACCAAGCTGCCAAGTTCCTTCATGTTTTTTTGGATCTAGATTGATCACTGTGCCACTCATTTGTTGGCCGGCACCCCGCGTGAAGCCCCTGTTTGGCGAGTCAATCCGCATATGTTGCCGCTTGTCCTGGTATGGCATTGTGGTTTTCGTTATTTTGCGCGTGCAACCCGTAGGACACCTGTATTGAATCGCAACAAATTAGCCTAGGAATCACAACCGCTACAACTATGTGTTCGAGGAAAGGCCGTTTGCCAAACCGAATGGCCATGCGTGGGGTGTCAGGTGGTTTGGGGTTGGAGGTTAAACTCCGCAAGAACGTCAATGCAAAGCAACAAGAGGTGAGGAGAGTGTATAGCGTCGGCCTCCGGATAAATCAAGCTGGTGGATTGCTGCGGGTGGTTTCTTTCAACAGTCATAAATTAGGTATGTCAGTCAACCGGGGCGTTAATTATTTCAAGTACCTTCTTACTCGGTGTTTGGATTGGTTTGTGGATTGGAAGCCCCCGATTCTTCAAACGGGACCCCCCCCTAACCTCAAACCACCGGGCTCCAAACCACTCAGGGGAACGCCGATCAACGCGTTTGCATCACCTCGTCCCAATTCCGCGAGAGGCCGAGCGCTGAAAGCTTTGGTCGGGGGCTCAAGGACTTCTCTTCCAGGCGAAGTCTGTCCCAGGTCAGTGGAACTCCCTTCAGGTCTTGGTTTTGGAGGTATGGAGGTGATTTGCCACTTTGTTAAAGGGGATATAAAGCCCTGCAAGCTTATATAGGTGGTATACAAGTAGTACCTCCAAACCCATATCTGGAAATGTCCTTGACTTCGGGTTTCCCTCGAACAGATTTAGGGTAGACTAAATACAGCCCACGAGGCCAAGAGGAAACAATGAGAGTCTTACTTGTTGCTTGTTCATTTCGGAGTTTTCTAAATTTGCTGAGCCTCAGGGGTCATTAATGGAATCGAGAGGCTTTGTTCTTTATGTATTTTTGGGGCGCATGTTCGGTTCCAAAAGAAAATGGACAGCGACGGTGTCCGGGGGCCTGTCCACAGGCTGCGGCCGGTGAGGAATTGCCATCGCTTGCTCAGGCGGCTGCTTTCCGAGACGCCTCGGAGTACGGCCCTCAGTGCTTGGCTTCCCAACTTTGAACAGCCGGAGTGGTCAAATTCCTCCGCCTCAAGGACGTGTATCTCGAGCGGAATAGGGAGCTAAACCCCCTGTAAAACAAAGGCGACCCTGAGAAACGAAGCCTGCGACAAGGGGAACACCCCTGTTTAAACGAAGGCGACCCTTTAAACGAAGGCGACCCTGAGATATTCCGTGTTTGCGCCTTTTTTGTTGTTGAGATGGCTGATTTCCGGGGTTCCAACCAGCTCACCCATGCTGAAGCTTACCTTACCTCTGGTTTGGGAATCATAGTAATGAGATTGTTGGGATGATGTGGGGCAGCCACTACATGATCAGGATAGTTCTTCCTGTGAAGTGAATCACGCTGCTGTGCACATCGAGCATGGACGTTGTATCCGAACAAAACCATCTCCAGGCCTGCGGCCTCCGAAGAGGAGGAGGCCAGGAGACCTGTCCCCATCAGCTGGGTGTGGCTGAAACTTTTGACGGCCTTGTGTTACGCAGGTAGTCTACCTTTCCCATCTGCAAGCGCAAGCCAATTTGGACTTGTCTGTTTCTTTTGAGCCACACCCAGTTAGGTTGAACATAGATGGCACCATGCTTTGAAATTGGTTTCCCTTTCATAATCAAGCATAACAAGTGTCCGTGTTCCCAAGAACAACGCAGCACAGCTTAGTTGGACATGGATCCTTTGCATCCAATTGGCCAAGCGGCAAGCAATGCGCCATCTTCTGGTGGCCAAGGTTGTTTTCCTTCAAAGAAGGTTTCCCCTTTACCACAACAGGTGCCCTCGACAAGAAGACAGCCCCACCCTCCGCCCCCCACCCACCCCACCCACCCACTCACTTCCTCACACTCCCAAACATTGCCCCAAAACTCGATTTGGCGGATTCCCGATTCCAGATTTGCTTCTAATAGTTGACCAGTGGAAACCATCTATTATTGTTTTGACGGGACACCTAGGCGTCTCCGCTTTTTGGAATTGGCTGACAGAGGTTCTGCTTAAATCTTGAGTCAAAATACAAGCACTCGCTGGAAAAAGAAGCACATGCCCCTTTTTGGGTTCTATGATAATTTTCGGGGTTAAATATAGGTTTTTGTAAATTGCCAAGGTTGATGTTCCTTTGTGACATGTAAGAACCCCCGTTGGAGCAACAGCTGCTTCCGGTCTGGGATAGGGGAATCCTTCGTCTATGTTCGCTGATGTAGCCTGAATTTGTTCAAGTTGGCAAGGATGTTTGGTTTCAGCAACCATGCTGAGATGTATTGTTTCAAGATGGTTGTGAACATATTGTCTTTCTTTTTCTGCTGAACCAGAATGTCCTGAATTGGTGGTTTGGTCTTTAACCTTGTTCTTGTGGAGGGTATTTGAATGGGGGAAGCCACTTGGGAACCTCCAAACCACCACACCAAACCACCCAATGATACAGAACTGAGTCTCTTTTCAGGAACCACCCCCGATTCTGGGAGCAATTTGGCCACTGTCCAGGCCTCTAAGCAAGCTTCGAGGCAGGCAGAGCGAGAGCGAGCTTGTGCCGAGTGAGGTCACTGCTTTGTTTGGCAGGGGGCCTGAGGGCCCCTTTGTTTGTTACAAACCTCAGGCCCTCTTTGTTTGCCAGGGGACCTTTTGGACAAGCTAGACATTGCGGCTTCATGGCCTTGTCAAAGGCTGGTTTGGTCACCATGAGTTCATGGTGCCACTTTCGAGGAAGCATATGCAATAATAATACCAGCGAAAAGGGTCTTTCCCTGAAAGGACGAGTCCGATTCTTATTTAGAGCACGGGCCATTGGAGTAGCATGGCCCATACTGGCCCTGAATGACCCCTAGCCACTATTGGTCACCTAGTACTCTGCAATGACTCCACTTGCCACGGCTCTGAATCAGAATGCGAGTACGCTCGCATCTGTTATTCTAATCTTCCATTTGCTGAAATGAATAAATGTGTTATTTCCCCCTGTTGTTTTTAAAGTTTGAATTTATCTCTACTGGAAACATGTGCTCATTTTTTCCTGGGGACGAAAACGCAAGTGGAGGTAATCCATGGGAGAGGTGAGGCGAGCGAGAGAACCGCCCAGGCAGCACGCTGTCACCATGCTTTGGGCTGGGCACCTAGCGGGCGAGGTGTTCGCAGCGAAATGCGCAGCGGGGGCCGCATTTCACCCAAGACCAGTGGGTTTCAAAAAGGTTATAGCAAGGCCTATATGGCTGTGGGTCAAGAATAGCTGCCCAAAATGGAACCCTGGTAAATGGAAACATGGAGTAAACCTGTGGTCCCCTGACGGTCTAATTGTGACCCATATTCATATATAAACACCGGGGTGGAACCACGGTAGAAACTCTGGTCGATGTATTTTTTTGGACCAGTGCCCCTACTGTATCATGTTTTTTTTAATTGGACGGTGAGCCTGAGGCTGCACTTCCAATCCCCCTAAGGCCGGGGCCTGCAGTTTTTATGGCTTCCCTTGATGGTGTTGTTTTTGTTGTTTGGGGGGGGGTTCTTTCAAACCCAGCACGCGCTTGGTGCTTTTTTCCCCTGGTCACTGGGGGGTGGGGTAGGGCTAGGCCAGGAAGAACACACACGATCATGCGGGAGGTTGCTTGAGTTCATCGATTGGAGTTCAGGTTCCGACATAAGAGGAATCGTGGATCCAGCTGCACTCAAGTGTTCTGTGTTTGCTTCACCCATCGCTAACTTGAAACAAAACACACACACACACACATGTTATTCAGATGTGGCAGTGTTGCCATTTCTGAGCAACCAGTTCCCTGGAAACAATAGTTGTAGTAGTGAAAGGCAGCACTGGCTTTTTGTAGGATGGCAACCTCTGAAAATGACGTAGACACAGCCTGACCAGTCACTGCTTCGCTAGCCAAACAGGTCAGTCTCAAGCTGAAGGCTTCAAGAGGGCGCCAGCGACATAGTGTGTTGAGTTGAGGGGGACATGGGGACAGTTCCCGACTTTCGGCACAACCGGGGGTGGGCACGGCCCCAATCCAGTTCACCTTGTTTGGTAGCCTGTCGTGACCAACGCAACTGGCAGAGCCCTTCTTCCAGTCCTTTTGCCCACCAATCATGGAAGTGGAGGTTTGTTACTGGCTGCTCCAAGCAGCCTGTGGGCTGAGGAGCAGTTGCCCTCCTTACAATGGACGTGGATTCTGCGGGCTTCCCCAAAAGGACAGCGTTCGGCCTCACAAGCTTCCATGATTCTCGGGAGGATACCCTGACATTTACCCTCGTTGCTCACGGTTCAGCAAAGTCCCATGCCAGGGGACGATGAAATTTCTGTGGGTTCAGGAGCTGTGCAGTAGTTCAGTGGATATTTGGGGCCACTCCAAGAGGGCTGGTCTTCCAAACTCCGATCGTTCGCTTAAGGAGCACGCCCGGTGTCTCGCCAGACTCTTGACCAGTCTGAAGGCAGGTTTCGGCAGAACTGGTGGACAAGCTCACCTCAATACCTAGTAATATATATATATATATATTATGTGTATGGTGCATATATACGCATATATATATATATATACATATGTATGCATGGTTTGGGTACCTTAGCCTGTGCGGTCCTTACTGAGCACTCAGCGTCATTTTCCTTCCCTGAGTATATATACATATATATATATATATATACATACGGGTTCATTGAGGGATGGTACCCTTTCCCGCTGGGTTACGTGGACAAAAACACAAATAGCACCGTTTTGGGATTACCCCTAATCATCCAAACCCGTAAAGGGTTAAAACAGTTCAACTTCCTGAAACAAATCGCTGGTGAAGAAAAAGTCATCGTTCTTGCTTCCAGACTCTCAGGGCCGTTGCTACCATTTTTCCGGGCCCTGCGAAAGTCCTCGTGTAGTTTTGGGGGCGTGTGCCAGGAGCCGTGTGGCTCGCTTTTGTTGGAACTCGGCTCCAGCAAGAGTGGGTCGTTTCTCAAGATGCTGGACTCAGCGTATGGTTGGTACTTGAAGAGAAACCGAAGGCGGACCCTTGCCAGTTTCGAGGTCCGTTTTTGAGAACCCCCGTTTGGTCTAACAGCCAGACGTATGCATGTCCGTGCAGGCGGAGCCAGAGCCTGATCAGACGGAGGCGGATTCGGTCCGAGCTATCGAACCAGTTGAATCGAAATGTCACGCACAGCTCCCCCCCAAGACTTTCTGATTTGATGACTTTCCCCATCGCCTCTTGCGAGACACCCTGGGTCATGGGGCTCAACTCAACAGATCCACTGGTTTGGACATCGGAGGTGCGGCTTCAGCATGCCTTTGTTCAACCAACAGCATCAGAATCCAAATGGAGCCAGGGCCCGATGTTGCAACAGACTCTTGAGCCTCACAACAAGAGCCATGCGCATACCTCAGTCTTCTAGTTCTGCTCGCTCTACTTGTGATCTGCTGGCGAACCCAGCTCTGACTCTGCTGACAGCTGTGACCGCCGCCATCAAGAATAGCTCAAGATTGGTTGTTGTTGGAAATCATATCACCTTGAGCTGTCCTTGATGGTGGCGGTCACAGCTGTCAGCAGAGTCAAGTAGAGCGAGCGGAACTAGAAAGCTGACGTATGTGCATGGCTCTTGACCTGGACGGGCAATGACAGCGAACATGGTCCAGGGGACCATGTGGGGGTTGCATGCATCCCACTGCGAAAAATGGGGTACGTGTTGTTTCCCCATGCGAAAAATGGGGCGCTTGCAGAAATGGCACTTTGGGAGCCAAGAAACATGTTGGAGCAAGCTCAAAAGAGTGGCAATTATATTGGACATGGAAGGTCACGTGCTTAAGTGCTGCCACAGGGGGCGCCTTTGGCGCGCCTGGCGCTGGCGTCAGAGACTGGCGCCCAGCTGCCTGATCCTTTCGAGTCTGTTCGACGGCGCCAGCAGGGGTGAGCCCAAAGGAAAGCCACAGAGAGCCGTTTCAGGGGTGCACTTTGGGTTGCTTCAAAGGGAAACCAAACGGAAAGTGTTAAAAACAGAGGGGGCTCATCAAAGCTTTCTCTTGTTCCTTTCATGTTCCCTTTTCTTTATCTTTCTCCTGCTCTTTGCTTTTCTCTCTCTCTCTCTCTCTTTCTCTCTCTCTCTCTCTCTCTCTCTTTGTCTTTCACTCTTCTCCCCTTTCTGTTTCTCGTCTGTGTCTCTGTCTTTCTTTGTGCATTTGTTTATTTTTATTCTTGCTTTCTTCATTTCTTTCTTTCTTTCTTTCTTTCTTTCTTTCTTTCTTTATTTCATTATTTCTTTCTTTCTTTCTTTCTTGCTTTCTTTCTTTCTTTATTTCTTTCTTTCTTTCTTTATTTCTTTCTTTCTTTCTTTCTTTCTTTCTTTCTTTCTTTCTTTCTTTCTCTCTCTCTCTCTCTCTGTCTGTCTGTCTGTCTGTCTGTCTGTCTGTCTGTCTGTCTGTCTGTCTGTCTGTCTGTCTGTCTGTCTGTCTGTCTCTCTGTATCGTCTTTGTCTTTGCATATTAGTCTGGTCTTTTTAGTTACACTGATATTCTTCATATGTATATATATATATATGTATTGTAAGTTTCTCGGTTCATGTCTCTTCTATCTATATCTCTATATATATATATATGTATATATCCATGTATGTGTACATATATATATATAGAGCTATCTATCTGTATGTTTGTCTATCTAGCTATCTGTCAACCTATCTAGCTATTTGTCTACCTACCTATCCATCGATCCATCCATCTATCTAGTCTATCAGTCTGTCCGTCTATCTATCTACCTGTTTGCCTGTCTGTCCACCTACCTATCTATCCATCCATGTTATCCATCTATGCCTCGCCCGATCTATGTATCCTTCATCTATCCTGGAGGTATAGGCGAAACGTGTGGGAGCAGCGACTCTTCAGATCAGCCTTTGACTGGGATCAATGAGCCCTTCCTCCAAGATGGATGTGTCCAAACCAGGAACATCGATCTGGTTGACTTTATGCTGGCTGTAAGCATCCACAAAGAGGGGTTAACTTGCTGTACCTTGAAATCGATCAATTCTGGGCACCAGCAAGCATGTCTGAAACCATGGCCAAAACTATTTTGGATTGGCAAGGATGGTCAGGAAAATTGGACAACCACTGCAAGGGTTCCTATTGAGGAAGACACGACCATGACCCGTACAATGAGTCTCGATCATGGCACATTTGACGGCGCTCAGGCTGGATGCAACCTTGCGGTTGCTCAGCTCTTGCGGTGGGAAGGCCTGTCCGATGTCAAAAATAATCCGAGGGGTTTACATTACCACGCGCATCCTCCTTGGGGGATCGCAATCAAGAAGTTCCCACAGTTTGGCGCATGTGCTCGTTGATTCTTGTGTACTTGTGCGAACGGCCAGACGGCTATGAGTCTACGAGTGTTGTCGCGCTACGTGATCAGGTGGCCCTTGCAGGACATCCTTCCAAGTCAAACGCTTGGCAGCTTAAGCTCAGTTGTTCAGTGGCACCCTTTTTCCCCTTTTTTGGTGGCTGCCCCACTAAAACTGGTCTTCCCCAAAAAGGGTTCCCTTTTTTTCCCACAGTCACTGAACCACTGAGTAAGTGCAAGGGATCCAACATAAAGTAAAACTGAAGGAGAGTGAGGTTCCTATAGAAGCGGAGCTTACACTTGCCTTGGAGGTTTGTTTGTTAGGGCTCCGCCTGATACCTTTGCGAGTCCCCACTCCCTTACCTGCAAGGGTCTCTTGTGCGCAAGGATAGCCAAGAGAGGCAGAGTGAAGCGCTCGCACGAGTTGGGCGCTCAGTATGTGAGGGCCGGAACCAAACTTCGGATTGTTCAGAATATCTTGCGAACCGGAGGAATCGAATGAGTGCCACATTGAAATGGAAACCGCTCTTCACAAGGGTGCTCCCCTTGGATTAATCCCAAATGGACTTGTGATTTTCACCTGTTGATAGGGATGGAGGCGAGCCACGCCTCTTGTTTTGCTCACATGCTAGGGCTGCTAAGGATTAAAAAAACCCAAGTCTCACAACCCGCGCCAAAGCCAGCCAAAACCCTAGGAGAAAAGATTGTCAATGATGATGGGCAACCTTTTCTTGTAGGGTGTTGGATGGGCTTTGGCGCGGGTTGTAAGACCTGGGTAGAGGCAGCCCCCGAAACTGGTTGGTTTCCCTTTGTTTGTTCCGTAAAAAAAGGTGTCAAACAAAACAGGTTCAGGGGTCAAAAGCATTTTATCCACAACATCACCGAGGGGAGTCCTCTACCAATTGTTGGATGCTTCCATGCGTTCGGCCGGGCTACCCATGCGTCCAAGGGCCTTTCAGCACCGAGACGAGGCGGCGCAACACGGCGATGCCTTGAGAGACGTCATGGTCCTCCTCCAGGCGTCGATTCGGGAAGCTTCAGAGTCCAAGCATCGATATGGCTTGCTTTGATTCTCATTTCCATTCTTTCCAGGGATCCTTCTTTCTAGAAAACCACCAACAACCCTGGGGAATGGCTGGTTTCTTGAAAAGAATGACGGCTGAAAAGAACGGGGTATCAACCCCTAGATTGATTCTGACTCTCCCGTACCGGGGCCGGATTGAAGTTTCCTAGCTCTTCCCAGAGGCCCAGTGGGGGCCTTCGTTTTCCTCCCTTTTGGGAAATGGTTCTCCTTCAAACTGAACAAAATATTATTTTAAAAAAAAGATGGCCTGTTTTTCCCTGGCCACTGGGCATCGAGTCTTCACCCCAAGCATCTGAGCGAATCGTCTGGAGGACATGTACCAAAACGGGCGCCCCGAATGTCTCCCCAGGCCCTGTTGGGGAACAAGTTCTGTCCTTTGCTACGGGTTTGTCTTAACATAGGGGACCCTCAAGGTGAGTGTTTTCCTTTAGTTCCCCTTTAAACCCAACCAAAAAAGGAGACCCGTCAAAATCCAGGGTGAAGCGGGTTGCAGCGCGAAGGCCTGTCCTCTCAGCGCCTTGCTCTACGACACCGCCTGCGTATTGTTGCAGCTCGCCGCGGCGCGGGCCCGAGGTGTCGGTTTCCATGCACCGAAGAAACATCCGGCGGGGGGGGAGGGGGGAGGGGTTTTTGTGATGGAAGCATGGGGTGTGCAATTTGGTTTGTCGGTTTTGTCGAGCCCCTGTGAGTTATGTTTCAACTGGGGTCTGCCCTCCAAAGATATGGGTAGAGGAAATATGGAGAGGAAAATGGGTTTCGGATGTTCTGCTTTCCGATGTGGGCCAAGGGAGACCACAAGGAAGGCGACGCTCAAGTAAAGGATGCTCCCATGTCATCGGTCACTGCCTTCAGAGCAAGGCGAACCTATTTCAGTGGGAAAGTCGAGCAATGATTTGTCTTTCAGACACAGCAGCTGCCTACAAGATGGTTGGAACCAGATATCACTTCCATTGTTGGTGTACCCCCAAAAGGGCTTAAGCTCCAGGGTGCTTAGTTTTCTCAACAAAGAACTCCTTGGTGTATGTCCATGTAGGGAAAGGAACAATTGAATCCGTGTTCAGTTGCACTTCGAAGCAGGACGCTTCACAGGGTGTCCAATCGCCTGCTTCAAGCCATCGCTTGCTTTCTGTGCGTTGCATTTCAAGAGTAGGGATCCTTCAAGTATGGCTTGCTTCTCATCTTCTCATCTTCAGAGACTTGGTTTAGGTTTCTTTTGGCTTCCTTGTGGTTTCATGTTGGTTTTCCGTGGGCTTCAAGTTCCCTTTTGGACTCCACGCTCGACCGAAATGGGTCCATCCCCGAGGATTCCGGCGAGGCTTGGAGCCTGGACATTCAGCAGGAGGCCTGAAGCTAGAAGCGCACCACCTCTCTCCAAAATTCGCAGACCAAGCAAAATGATGGCAACTCCCAACTCCTCCTGTCACACTTCCATGTCTCTTTGTTTGAAGGAGCCTGAGCCCTTTGGCCAACTGCGTGCTCTTGCGGGCTGCGTTGTCCCACTATGGCTGCCCGTGTTGGAGAACATCGTACACGTCCTCAGATGCAGTACACTTAAACTGACCAAGATTCGCAACATGCGCTTGTTTGCGCTTTGTTGCGCCCGTATGCACTTTGCTCAGCTTGTCGTGCCTTGCTTGCGCTCATTCTGCGCGAACAAGCGAGTCGGATCTCGGACTGCAATATACGCTCGATGTGCCAAAAGCTCTCAAGAGCGCAATAAAGAAACAAACACTCTAATGATTTTTTGTAAGATTGTCTATTGCAACGGAATGCCAAAAAGAAGTAGGGAACAAGTTGGAACCCTGTAGTTCACCGCAACTTACCTGGGTGTTGTGGTTGTGTCAAGTTTTTTTTTCTTGCCAGAATCGGCAGGCAGTGGCAGCCTTGTGGCAGATCCTGCAGACCAAGACCAAGGAGCGGAGAGAGGGGTGAGTTTCTTCGGGCGTTTGGATCCCCCAGCCCCGGCCCCAGCCTCTGCAAAGAGGTGGTCGAGATTTGGTCTGATGTTGACCCTTTTGCCGTTGCGATAGCGCACAGAGTCTGTTCGAGAATAGCGATGTATTGGGGGGAGGGGGCAAGAAGGAGAAGGCCCCAAGAACAAACAAGTCAGGGCCCTTTGGTTGAAGAAGGGGCCTGTGGCGCTTTCAGCCACGAGAGCTCGGACGCTGTGGAAGGGAAGCTGGTACAAGCGCATGCGTTTCAATCCGCCTGCCTGAATAGTCGACTCTAGAGGGAGAGCATAGGTGGGCCAACAAGAATTTCGGAATTTGAGACTGTCAGCTTTCCCCAAATTGGTGGTTTGGATTGGTTTGGAGGTGTTCCCGGGGTGGGAAACCCCATGTACCCTGAAGAACCAGGGGTTGCAATCCGAATCCAAGCCACCGACTTGGGGCTTCCTGAGACTGCCAGGTCGCCGCTGGCTCAGGGGAGGCCAAAGATAGCCCCGCACTCAGTCGGCCATGTGACATGTGGACAAAATAATGCTCACCCCCTAAAAAATGGAATGGAGGGGTATTTGTTTTAGGAAGTGTCAAAAACAAATCCGCACCCAAATAGAATTGGGGGAGGGAGGCGACCCCTGGGCTTAAATTCCGAATACTAAATAGATGGAACTGGGGACCCCCACCCCGAGCCCCAAGGATCGTTAAGGTACGCTGGATACGGGGAATGTTTGGGTAAACATTATGAACATTTGGAAACACCAATCATTTGTGAGGGCGGCTGTCAGCCAATTTCTTTCTATTCAAGTTGGTTCCTTCTAGCCAAAGGTCAGAATGTCGAAAGACCATACCTATATACGATGGGTATGTTACATGTATATGTGCAAGTCTGATTGACATGCCCAGATCTACCACATGTTTACCTTGCAACCAGCCTGGAGCTTTGCAAGCGAGGCCTTCGAAAATTGCTTTGCGCCCTGCTGGCATTGCCGCATAGCCACTGAGCCGCAAAGCAGTTTTCTGTTTGCTCTGCTTTGTGTTAGGGTCTTCAGAGAAACTGAAGCATTGAGGCTTGTGCCAAACATGCAGCCAGCAATAAAGTATGTGGTTGCTAACATGGCTCAATTTTGATTGCAAGAATCTTTGTCGGCTCTTTCAGCAATAGTTCAATTTTATTGATCTACGGCTCGGGGAAGACGGGCGACACCTGGTAAGGAGTCCTTCCATATCGCAAGCGAACAAAGAGGCCCCTGTAAGTCTCCGTGGTTCGTGGTTGATGCACTCAATCTTTTGGGGATTGACCGTGTCGAAGGAGTCTATCAAAACCGTAGAGTGGGGGAGGGCGAAGGAGTCTATCACAACCGTTTTGTGGGGGAGGGCAAAAGAGACACGAGCAAAACCTTAAAGGAGTCTGCCCCCAAGACAAAAGACTCCGAAGGGCGGAATGAACCAGCTGGTGCTGGCTAGGAGTGTCTCAGGTTTGTTTCTGGCTCACACCATTGGCGTCCGGGGGATTCGTTCGGCTTGCTTTTAGTAGCAACGGGGAAATTGCTCCCACGTCACCCGGCCCCCAAGTAGCAAACCTGCGACCCCCTTTGCTGTTCCGTGGAGCTTGCTTGGGACCTGACTTGAGGCTCCATTGTCTCACTTGTCACATTCATCCAGTGGCGTCCACAAGTTGCCAGCACCCAGCATCTGTCAAATCTCATCGCTTACGGCACCCCAAATGGGGCCAATAAACACTTAGGAGAAGATCAGAGGATTGGGGGGTGGGGGGGACACATATGTCGCAAGGTGTAAGCTTAGGTGCTTCTGGCGGGCAACTGTTTCACTGTTGTTTACAAGCAACAGGGAACAATGATGACTCAGCTCAAACAAACCCAATCAAAGCAACACGGCCCCCTCTCTGATGCTGAGACGGAGCGTGATCCAAACCCGAACCAGTTGAACACTCGAACTCTTAAGGGAACAACCGTTTCTGACACCGAGGTGCTTCCGTGGCATGGCGGCTGCGGCTGCTGAGTGCGGCCATTCTGCCGGAGCCTCGGAGAGCTGTTGGCTCAACACGGCTGACTGGGGGTGTCAAGAGCAGAACCTTTGGTGGGTTTCCCTTTGCAACATGGTTGATTCCCTCCTTTTGTTTTTTTTTGGGGGGGGATGTTGAGATAGTTTAGGGATTAGGCTCTGGTTTAGCTTCAACAGTGTAGGACTGAAAGGGTGACTTTGAGAGTGGTAAACCCACCCTTCCAGTTGCTGAAATGAATTTAAGCACTAGACCTACTTTATCATTTTTCCAGGGGACTTAAGCAAATGGAATTATTGGCTCGAGACCCCAGTTTCACAGCCCAAAGTCTAATTTCATTGTTTGGGATAAACTAAAGATGAAACTACTCTGGTCCCTCATCCACAAATACCTATTCTTGGTGACCGTTTTGGCATTGGTCGACAACTCTCTTGTCCAGCCAAGTGCAACTCCTTGTGGTTTCCTTCTATCAGTCACAGTCACAGATGGGGAGAAGGCGGGGGAGGCTGCTTCAGGTATGGGTAGACCGATAGCCAGTTGATTCCTCCAGATTCCGCAAGATGCAAGTTGGCTGTGAGTCAAAAATGGGCTGGCAAATGGAAATAAGGACTAAACCAGCGGTCCCCTAGTGGTTTAGTTTTGACCCAGGCCCAGTTGGGTTCCTGGGATCAAGTCAGGGATCAACAGATGTTGGGAATTCGGGGCGGCTAGCCAGACAGCAAGTTGCCGTCGATGTGACTTGCGGCACATGATGCTAATTGTTGTCCAGCATCTCTCTCAAAGGCTCCGTACATTCATAAGTTCCCTTTGGATGGTTCAGATATCACCTTTTTGGGCTCATTCAAAGGGATGTGGCCTTTTGGTGTGATGTTTAAAAGGGGAGACCTAGGGAACCCTGGGCCCTTTGTCCGCGCCGTCAAATCTAGGCACCCTCTCATGAAAAAAAATCGCGACTCCGCCCATTTCTGGGGGGTCTTTTTTTTGTTGTAAAAAAAGCTGAAAAACCAAAAATGGTGTAGACTAAATATCTTTCTTGCCCAAAGCGAAGCGACCTTTTCACCCTTTGGTTTTCGGGTTCTGGTCCACGTTTCGTGGCCCCAAAAGGCTAACCTTCTATTCCCAGGTCCTTGGGGCAAGTGATAAATATGAAGCAGATTCTATTCGTTGGAGCCCAGAGTTGAGGCCATATTTGGAAGGGATCCCTAGTCTTCACATACACACGCTTTGCAGACATGTGCTTCTCCACGCGTCGGGATGCCAAGTACAGACAGATTTTTCACGCCCCACCCGAGAAAGGGCTGGACCGCAAGCCGCCCAATGGCTGTCAAAGCTGGAGCTGCCCATTTTCGGGATGCAAAGAGGAAGCTGTCCCTTTTGGCATGAGGCAATTAGCCACTCTGAGTATCATGTTTTACCCTTTCCCCTCAGCAAAAACGAGTTATCTTCTGGCTCCCTCCGCTCGTAGTTCGCTTTTCAGCTGGCTAAGTTGCATTGCGATGCGGGAAGCAACCAGTTCGCTTTTCGCAGTCCTGTGACGGGGTTTTGGCCAACTCCCGAGACGGAAACTCTCCCAGGTCGCTGGGCCACTCGCCGGATGCGACGATGCAGAGGCTCGGAAGTCTTCCCAATGCCCTTTGTCATCTCCAGGCGTGCCCTTCTGTGCCCCTTGCTCCCCCTTTTGCTGAAGGAGAATTCCCTTTAACATCAGCCAACCAAAAAACGGCGCGGTTCGGCTTGGATCTTCTGGGCCTTTGAAGGGGTCCAACTTTCGGCAGACCCAGGGACCGGGTCCGGAGGAAGCCAACGGACGTGAAGCCACCGGAAAAGAACCACCTGTGGCGCCTTTGGTGCTCACCTCAAGGGCTTGGTGACGGGTGCTGCACTGGTTTCTTGCAAAAGGCTTGGTTCTCTTTTAAGACCATCCAATAGCGCCCTCAACATCAACAGCTATATATTATGTAACCAGCACCATTGACACAACGGACACAAGAGAACCCCATGTGTACATGTCTAGAAATGGACCGGATATTCCACATGCCAAGTTGTAAAACGGGGCCTTTGCTTGACGTGTTTCATAGTGGATATGTCATGTTGGCGAGTTCAACATGAGTGATATGCTTTTGTGTTTGTGGTCAAACAACTTCATGAGCACTTCCAACAAAATCTGAGTACATCAGCATCAGCGTGCTTAAGTACTGCGCCTGCCACGCAATCCACACAGCGGCCGGTCCGCGCAGACCAGTCTAAAGTCTAAAGTACTGCGCCTGCCACGCAAAACAGCATCGGCATGCGCAAAGCAGCGACAGTGAGTGGGCAGCAGCATAGGTAAGTTGAGTGAGTGAGCGTACGTATGCGACATTTACTGAGTGTAAGTTGGTGTGAGTGACAGAAAGTATGCGCAAGTTAGTGGGGGTAAGTTAGTGAGTGTAAGTTAGTGAGTGTAAGTTAGTGAGTGTAAGTTGAGTGAGTGAGAGGAAGTATGTGTAAGTGGAGTGAGTGAGAGCAAGCACATGAAAGCCAGTTAGTGTAAGTGAGTATGCGTAAGTCAGCACGTGTAAGTTGAGTGAGCGTATGTGAAATGAGTGTAAGTTGAGTGAGAGTAAGGAGGAGCAGAAGGAAAGGAAGGAGGACGGAGGAGCAAGAGGAGGGCGAAGGAGAGAGCGGCAAGGACGACAAATAAATATGTATGTACACGGTTGTAGGCACCAGGAATCCCTTTGTAGTTTGCGGTTTCTCGTCAGCTTCAGATTTACTTCATAAGATTGCATCAGTTGGAATCTGATACAGAACATGTAGTGATGATCTGATGCGCATGTTGGTACTGTGTTTGTATTTGGCTTATACAGTTTTAGTCGTTCACAATGAATACGTATATATTTGCATGTGTTCAGAGTGTTTTATACAGTTTTAGTGGCTAATAATAAATACGTACGTATATCTGGATGCGTTCAGTGTGTTTTATACAGTTTTCGTGGTTAATACTGAGCCGAAAAAGAAAACCTGCTGTATGTGTCAATGTAAGGCATGATCCCGGTTGTTTTGGACGTGTCAAATCAGCTGCACCGCCGCTTGTTATTTTGAAGGGCAGGAGTGTGTAGCAGTTGCGGCCGCGCAAGTCGAACATGGGGCTGCGCAAGTAAATCGCAAGTGAAGCGCAAGTGACGCAGTGATTCACCATCATCATCATCATCATCATCATCATCATCATCATCATCATCATCATCATCACCGTGGCCCAAAGATTAACAAGTTTAGCGTATGTCCCGCGCAAGTCGCGGGCAGCCCGCAGATGCCCCCAAACTGCTTGGAGCAGGAGTGGCACATTTCTGTATTTTGCATATATATATATACACATATTTGTTTCTGCAGATCCCAGCAGTATGAAGACCGCCGCTTGGATTTACAATCAAAACAACTTGGGATAAGAGTTTTATTGCGGTTGTTTTTTCCGCTCAAATACGTCTGGATGCTTTCAGTGTGTTTTGTACAGTTTTCGTGGGTTCATAGTAAATATGTATAATCTTTCATATTTCGCCATGGGGCGGTTGTCTCTGTGCTCTCACGCGGTCTCCGCGGGCTTCAGGTTGCTGTCGCAGCTGCCGGGCCCCAGCGCCGCGCTCGCGGAGAGCGGCGGCCCGGACGAAGGCGCGAACGGAACGGCCGGACGCTCCCGCGGGGCTCCGGACATGGAACCAAGCCTTCAAAGGAAAATTCTGGGAGCCAGTGATCGATCGATGGTTCAAAGGCTGAATGTTTAGTATTATTTATATATATATATATATATATGTAAGAACTGTTATGAAGTCCTGGTTTATGGGTAAATTCACCCGTTTGTTATGGCTTAATTGTAGGAGACCACCCAAAGGGTGCAACATGGCCATGGGTTCATAGTTTTTATGTACTAAAACAATCAGCCTTTGACTGGTTTGTCCAAGTTTTCGTAGGGTTTTTCGATGTCAACCGGCGCAACATGTTGTCCACAGTCGGGCCTCCCTAGTAGCAGCCATGCGGGCGAGCAACCCCGCGGCCCAGTTGCGAGTTCTTTGGCCGGCCAGAATAATTTGCCCACGTCTTTTAGTGAGTACAGGGAAGTCGAACATCTAGATTCGGTCTCCACTACTACACCACCACCTTCTCGGTACGTGTGGGTGTTGAAATACTTTCTCAGACGCTCCACTTCCGCGGGCAGGCCTTTGGTTGCCAGGACACTCCCAAATCAGAACCTGTGCCAAACATTTGCCCGCTGATTTCTTTTGCAAGGCCCACCTTACTGGCAATTTGGTGAGTGGATGCTATTTCAAGCAGGGCAACATCTATGTAATCCCTATAGAACCCTTATGTAATTCAAGCCCGTATAGTTGTGACCCCTATATAACCACCATGCAACCCTTATATAACCCGAATATATCCCCTGCATCACCCTTCAACGGATGTTGTCCGCACACAGCCTGGAACAATACCTTTGACGCCGACACCACCAATCTGGCCCAAACAGGAGTTCTCAACTTTGACGACCCGCACCTTTTGCTTCTTTGATTTTTCAAGGAAGCCAAGCGAATCTCGAAGATCTATTTATGCGGGTCACCCCCAAACCACCCCGGAAGGTTTAAAGACCGAAGTCCTCTTTGGGATGGTCGGCTTCCGCTGGGCGTCCTTTGAAAGCACTCCAGGACACTCCCAGAGCCACTGAAACGACCTGACTCCACTGCCCGAAAATTGTTTTTGGAGCCCTGACAAAGAGAGCCATGAGAGGGTTATGGTCCTCAATAGTCACTGTCAGTCACGTGTTTTTTTCGGCGGCAAGGGCTCCCCTTGTGCCGCTCAATCGGCATAGGAGCCAGCCACAAATCGAAGTATCCTGTGGTTGTCAGGGGCAGTCTTCCAGGGGGGCCGTAGATCTAAAGTAGAAACAGTCGATGTCGGCGATCGATGTCAAAGCTTATCTTCCAGGGCGCCCATAAACCTACCCCTTGCCCAAAAAACCGGGGCTAGGATCGTTTCTGGGATGGTAAACAGGCGGATTTCTGCAAAAAACCAGGGCGGCGCCTCGAGCCGGCCCTCACCACGCTGCTGGCGCGGCTCCTCTTTCCAGAAAAAGAAGAAGAAAAGGCGCGAGTTTTTGAGACTTGGTACCTCATTTAGGTTTGTTAAAAGAGATATCAACGGGAAAAACAATGTTGGGAGTCCCCCGATTTTGACAGGCCCACATGGTTGTGGAAGACTTGGTTTTGCACCAGGGTTAAAGATGGAACAATCCCCTTTGCGCGCATAACTAACACAAGATGGGCGGATTAGTACGATCTACTTTCACTCAACTGTAAAGCCATTTTCAATTCTCCCAAGAGACCCCTTCTTGATGACAAAGTCGTCGCAGGGACTGGAACCCAACTTTGGTGTCACAGAGCGGGTTCTTCCCTAACCATGGCACGGAAAGATTCCTGGCTCTTAGTTGAACCATTGGTTGATTGACCTTCTCAAGGGGGTCCTTGTATTTAGGTGTGTCTTTTTTTGAGGGTACCCGCTCTGGGGTGCTTTTTAAAGGGAACCAAATGCAGCTTTTTTTTGGAGGGGGGTCGCTTGCACAAAGACCGGCAATTCCTTCTTTTTTTTTGCGAATAACAACATTCTTTGGGCCGTTGGGAACTCAGCTTTCTTCTGCTGTGATATTTCAGGGGACATGACCCACGCGTGCCCCTTGACTCCCGTCTGTCGTTCTTGCTTGGACAGATTCAATTCACACAGTTTGTGGATGGAGGTTAGAGGAAGTCCCAAAGAAAGCAGTCCGATGCATATTGAAGAACCCCCAATACTCCCTACCCAGGAAGACAGGGGAGGTATGCAGCACACTTGGGAGGGCTGCTTTGAATTGAGTATATATTTGGTCCATTTTGCAGTTTTGGAGCATGGTATGACACCTGCTCCTAGATGCGTGCATGCTACGTTTTGCATCGAAACTCACTTTCAAGCATCCCTGGTTCAAGCTTCCAGGAAAACATTGCACACGATGCATCGATGCATAAACATAGCTTCAAAGTTGCACTCCGCGAACACTGTCCCTTCGGACTTCTAAGCAAGGTGGGAAAGATTGATTGATGGAACTTTTGAGTTGTCTCGCGAATCGACCAAACGGGTGTTACGAGGTGACGTTCACAGGGACACATGATGACACGAGGCTAAAACAATCCCCAAACATTGCCAGACGGCCTTTTTGGCCTTTTGCCCTTTCGGTGTCCCTGATTTTCCCTTGTCCGGCAAGTCTTCACTTAGGGCCGACTTTTTTAGGGCTTCCCTTTACCGGCCAAAGAGGGGGGGTCCTTTTTGGTCCACAAGCTTGGCCGCCGGTTTCAGCCTTACAGGTGCGCTGAAGCTTTAAGCCTGGCCCCCGGTGAATCTCACCCTGCACTGGCAGGAAAGCTTCTGAGCATCCCTCACCGTCGGTGTGAGTGAAATGGGTATGGGCCAAAATGAAACCACCTGATTCTTTGTTTCCACGTTTCCACCAGGGCTTGTGCCACGTCGGGGTTACCCATTCGAATTCTCGACCACGGCCAAATGCAAAAATAAATCGGGGCTTCCCACTCAAAGAGCTCCGCTTCGCGCTCACTGATGGACTGGGATGCCGCGGAGCGCTTCCACGCCATCTGGTTCCCACACGAAGATGTCCCGGGCTTCTGGTTCGGGGCGCGGAAGGCGCGGGCGTTTCCTTCGCCCGCTCGGCGGGCAAGGCGTTCGTCGCGGAAAGAAAATTGGCGCCCCAAGGTGGTCGGTTTGAGATGCGGAGAGGACGGGAGTTTCTGAGTTGCACAGTGGCGCGCCCTGGTGTTTCTGTTTTCCCTGTTTGGGGGAAACCAACCAAACATGGATGCCCGTGTTTTTGTTGCACCACCACTGGGACCTTATCTGAGTATTGGTTCTTTGGGTGCTCTTGGTTTGGAAGTGGTCCAAAGTGATTGCCGTTCCTCAGCCTGGCATGGGTGAACTTTTATTTGGGTCCCACATTTGTTCTCGTGGTTTCTAAGAGGAACTTGAGGAGCCAAAAGGACGCCTATCACCTGGCGACTTGCCAACCGCGGACTTGAGGACCATTCTTTCCCAAGGCCTCGTAGGCTGAAGGTGTACCGTGGGTTCATGTTTCCTTGAGCATTCTAATTGTCCAACCACTGTGAGTTGTTTCATGAACCATGGTTCAACAACATGATGCGAGGGTTGGTCAATATATCCAAGGGTCTGCTAGGAATTTGGGAGGGGCATTTGGCACACTGTGAGCTTCCAACATCGACAAGGGGACTACTCAACCCCACCCCACTCCCACCCCTGCACTTTTTTTTTTGGCATGTTTAAGAGTTTGTTTGCTTGTTTTGGTTCTGTTCATTGGTAGTGGGGGCTACACAGAACAACGTTGTTTTGCTAAACTTGGCCAGCAACCTGTTTCAACTCCCAACCCTGACAACCTCACATTGCTGGAGCTTCGGGGATTTGATCTCCTGGTTCTAGAGGATGGCAAGCCCGGAGCAGATACAATTTGATCATTGTCAACCTCTTTTCACAGGCCACTCTCATTACAAGCTGATTTCTTGGTGTTTTTCTTGCTGGTGCGATAGGTAGGAAATGACAGAATCCGGGTTTGGGGAATAAAATAAAGGCCGTGGAGTTTCTCGGGGTCATCCCATATCGCCAGGATTTTCTCCCCAACAGAGTCAGTTGCCGCCATGGTTTATCCTGGGGTCATTCCATTTCTCATTCCCTGCCTATCGAACCAGCAAGCACTGATTCAGTTGCTCACTGAAGGATTCCCTAAGGACTCCCTAAGGATTCCGTAGAGGGGAGCATACCTAAGGATTGCCTAAAGGATACCCTTAAGGGATCATTCCCTGCTACTTCGAGGCCAGCTACCGCCCCTTCTTCGAGCACTTGGCCGCCAGCTGCGTGCCTGCGGCCCGGCGCCTGGCCTCGGCGCTCCAAAAACACCGCCACGGAGGCCTCGGCTTCGTGGAGGCGCCCGGCCTGGCGCGGCGCCGCATGAAGGCGCCCGGGCGCTTGGGTTTGGGTTGGGCGGGTGTGGCTCTCCCAAGTGGATGGCGTGGGTGGAGAAAAATATGATGGTATGTGTCCACCCCAGTAAGTGGCTTCCCTTGGGGGAACCCCAAGATGATGGTGATGATGATGATGATGATGATGATGATGATGATGACGATGCTGATGATGATGATGACGATGCTGATGCTGATGATGCTGATGATGATGATGATGCTGATGATGATGATGATGCTGATGATGCTGATGATGATGCTGATGATGATGATGCTGATGATGAGGCTGATGATGATGATGATGATGATGATGATGATGATGCTGCTGATGATGATGATGATGCTGATGATGATGATGCTGATGCTGATGCTGATGCTGATGATGATGCTGATGATGATGATGATGATGATGATGATCCAAGCAGGGAATGCCTTGAGTTTCTGAGAGCCCTCTGAAATTCCAAAGGGCATGTGATTTGGGTTAGAAATCGATGGGCTCCACTGGTTCAGATTGGTTTTATGAGCCCATTTACCAGGATGGGTGGTTTTGTTCAGCTGAAGCCGATTCTACGGTTCCTGATGAGTTCCCCCAAGTTGCCCCCACCCAAAAAAAAGCATAGGTCGGGGGGCTCGCTTGGGCACGGGGGGAGAGGTTGGGAAGGTGGGGTTCCTGTAGATGGGCCAGGTCGGGCAAGGGCAGGGAATGATTTAAACGTTCGCGGAACCCGCCAGAGTTCACACGGAATCCATTGAGTAGACAGTTTCACTTGCATGAACAGAAATGGTGAATGTTGCTCCCCTCGAATCTGCAAGCGATAATAGTCTGGGTTGGACACTATGCAGCAAGCAGGGAAGCAGGGGGTAATGTGAGTTATCAGTTACAGTGGTCTCGTGTTGCTCAAGAAGGAAGAAAGCAATGAGTGGCTCTTGTGGCTTGGTTCAAGCGCAAACAATCCCATTTCCCCATTCGCAACGCTGAATGAGGCGAGCTACTTGGTTCGGGTCCCGGGTGTTGCGCCAGGGGCGGCAGTTCGTTGTTGTTTTTTTGGTCGGTTCTGGACCGTCTCGGGTCGCAACGGTCCATCGATTTCCGGTTTGCCAAGAATTGGTTCGACGCTCGATGCCAGGTTTCTGGGTAGCTTCGGGTAAGGCTTGGCTGCCTTTAAAGCCCCAAAGGCAAGAGCTGTGGGTCCTCTGCAAGCATTCAGGGCTGCTTTTTGCGAAACGAACTTTTGTGAAACGAGCCTTCAAGGAATTCCTCAGGTTTTGGGGACTACCACCCCAAGCTCCCGGCTCTCAGGGTCGCCTTTGGAGGGGGTTCCGGTCCCAGACGTGCTTTTGAGTTGCAAAGGCTTTCGGGCACGAACCACCGACCGGCATGAAGCATCTTCTCAGGATTTGTGCAAATAGTCGCCCATGACACAAGTCCTTTACTTGGCATTCCATGATCCATGTTTCTGGAGTAATAGTATATATGATAATAATAATAATAACAATAATAATAATAGTAATAATAATAATAGTAATAATAATAATAACAAGAATAATAATATTAATAATATTAATATTAATATTAATATTAATAATAATACTAATAACAATAATAATATTAATAATAATACTAATAACAATAAGAATAATAATAATGAGAATAAGAATAATACTAATAATAATAGTAATAATAATAATAATGATAATGATAATAATAATAATACATACGGTATAGTACATGTGTATGTGCTTTCCTAGCAGCATGCGGATGTGAGAAGCTTCTGAGAAACTGAACACTGGCCACCGTTGTCCGAACTAAGAGCCTGAATTTTGGACACTCACGAAAGTGCACAACGACTCAGTAGCAAAATGTTGACTGTGCACATGCCATGTGATAGCGTTTGCCCAAATTCTACCATTCTCGGTTTTGGCGCCGACCAGGGTTGGAAGCTGATCAAATTTGTTGATATATGTCCGGAAAAATGTGCCGACTCTGCAAGGTGGGTCATTTGATCTGGAGCTCCATGAACCCCAACAATTGGGTCATGACCTTTCCTCGGGCAATGACCCCATTGCTGAGAACGCAGGACTCCTATAAACCATCGCCTATGGTTTCCTTTACGGGAATCCCCTTCCGGTTCATTCCCAACACCGGGACTCGAAAGGTCATTCCCTACCTATCGCAGCAGCCGGGGGTGTTTTTTTTTGGGCGGGTCATGGAGACCTCCCTGGTCTGTCCTCCAGCAGCCGCCACCACCAACCAATTGTCACAGTCAAAGAAGAAGCACTCATAATATATATATGTATCTATATATATATATGCACATCATATCAGGGGTTACGAATCTTGGGCTCCGAAAAAGGGAAACCGCCCGCCAGGTGGCGATCTTCCTGGATCAGACCTGCCGAAACTTCCTGTCGATGCAGCGCAGCGCGGCGAAGATTCAGGCGGCAGAGGAGCTCAAGAACTTGTGCGACTCTGTTGCCCTGCCCTTGGCCACTTGGCATAGGAAGTTTTTTGTTTCTTCTTATTTTTCTTATTATATATATAATATTTAGATATTTATTTATTTATTTATTTATTTATTTATTTGTTTGTTTATTTATTCATTTATGTTTTTATTTATTTATATATATTTTTTTTATTAGTTATTTATTTATTTTTTTATTTATTTATTTATTTGTGTGTTTATTTATTTATATATTTATGTAATTATTTTGTTTGTTGAGTTGTTTTATTGATTATTTATTGATTTATGTATTTGTTTATTTGTTTGCTTCCTCTGGTTGGGGGTTTGGGTATTGGTTGCTTCCTCTGGTTGGTGGTTTGGGGTGGCTTCCCATTTGCCCTCTACCAAAACTTTCCCGAAACCGCCAAAGCTTTGGTTCCCTGACGACGTGGGTATGGGTCAAAACTCAACCACCAGCATGTGGACCGCAGGTTTTAGCCCTTGGTCCCATTTGCCCGAGTTCCATCTTGCGGTTGCACTATTTTTGGCACACAGCCTATGCAAGAGAATCAATTGGATTCTTGTTCGAACTTGCATTACATGTTTAAGGTCACCTGGGGGCGGAAGGGGGGGAGGGAAGCTGGGAAAGTTGATGCTCGCCTCCAAAAGATTATCACACAACAATGGTAGCAAATTGATGTGGCGTCCTTTTCCACCAACAAAGAGCCGACCAGCTATTTGTAACGAGCCTGACCAAGATGGTGGTTCTCCTTTTGAATTTTCTTCAACCATCCCCCACCCACAAAAGAGGAAAGAAGAAAAGAACTCAAAGTACCCTCAACAAAAGCACTGTGCGTTTTGTTGAAGGTGATTTTTGTTTTTGTTTGACACCCACTTTGTATTTCTGGGCATGTCAGGCCTTGTCCGTGCTGGCAGATGTCGGCCTGCAGGGCTCGAGGTTGAGTCTTGGCCAAAAATTTAGGGGACCGCCCCACATGGCCTCGGTCCTTTTGGGTTTCTCTTGAAGACCACAAGAAAGGTGCCTTCGGAAAATGATTTCCTTTTCTTTCTTTTTTTTTGGGGGGGGATTGCCTTTGTTTCCCGGTAACCAATCCAACAAATTTGCGCACTCGTACTGAAAAACGCTTTTGTTTTACGTATTAAAATGAAATGCTGTGTGTTGACAATTCTCTTTGCGTGGGACGGTGTTTTTCGCCGACTGCATAACCCCATGTTGGGTTTCCTTATTTGGAGACAGCCTTAAAGTTTGATGGGAAGCACCCCCTGTGGCGACATTCCGCATGAAAGATCTCCTCGTTGTGTTTGTTTATATGCTTTACTGGGGGGCAACCCTGAAGCGAGACCCCAAAAAAGCAAATGAACTCGTGTGGTTCCTTCATGGTTCCTGTCGCGCCAACAATTTGGCCTAGCCTGTGGAGTGGGTGAGATTTCCGGGAATTCGTCTGGCCCAGAGCTGGTTTTGAGTTTTGGTGGACATTGGCTGTTCAAGCTTAGCCAGGTTATAACAGTGGTAACGGACCAACCCCGGCTTCCCCAACCATGGTTGCAAGGTACTTTCCTTGCTTGAACACCCAAGCATTTGGATTCATGTAGGGCATTCAAGTCCCAGAAATCGTTCCTTTCAGCCAACCAAAAACGGCGCGCCTTTTGTTTCCTCCGCTGATTTGTCAATCCCCCGGTCGACTGACGACTCAGGACGCAGCTGGGCTCCGTGCCGGAGCTCTGCTTCTTCTCCCTGGTGCTGCGGCACTCGCGGCAGCGCGAGTTCTTGCGCCTCGCGCAAGGCGTGCTGCTGGCGCTGCAAAGAGAGCCCCTCGGAGGCGAAAACAAAATAGGCTCGCCATGCAGCTCCAGATGTAGCTCTGTTGCGTGGGGGGATCCATTCCTTTTGGGATTTGTCAAGACTTTTTGCAGTTTCTGCTTCACTATGGGCTTGCCACAAAAAAATAAGCTCGGGTGATATCCCCAACAGCACCACACCCGCATGGGTACTGTAGATGCGGAAGGTACACAGGCACAGTTCTGTCCTGTTCAGCCCCCTTCGCGGAACCCTCGTGGAACCCTACCGCGGAACCTTACCTCAGAGCCGCCCCAGACCACCCTGGAGCCTATCTGGGAATACCACTTTTCCTGGCTGCTCTTTGCAAACACAACTTCAGGCGCGGTCAAAATATATTTTTTGGTCTGTGGTTTCTTATGACCCCAGCAGGCTAATACGTGTGTGCGTGTGTTTCCAGCAAATGGCGGGCTTCCTTTGTGGTTTCCCTTGCAACACCCTCTAAACGGAGGTTTGTTGAGCGCAATGAGAAGTACCAGATGGATGACACCCCCATGAAAAGTTGATAAGCCGCCTACCAACTTGGTGGCTCCCAGCCATCCCCTCAGCTTTTCTTTTTTTAGTTGGTTTAGTTGTTGGGTTTCCGAATTTCACCCACTCAAGTTGTCCGAAAGACTAACTATCGAGTTAGAGCCGGTCAAAAAGCGTATGGATGCTCCCTCATACACGACTTGTCCCTTTCTTGTTGGCAACTTTTGCCTTTCAGTTGGTTCTTTTCAGTTGGTTTAGATGGGATTTCCGAGTTTCACCAGCTCAAAGCTTGATCAACTTTTGGCAGATCTGAAAACGGACAGCCCCGCCAAACCGGTGCGAAGCCACCGGTGAGGCGGCCGAGCGGCGCCTTGTGCGCGCGCTTCCTGGAGGAGACCCAGGAGGCCATCGACGCCATTGCCGTGGAGGCCTATTTGGAGGACCGCTGGGCGCCGGGAAGGAAGACTGGGAGTCTTCCGCCCGGATCTCCAGTACGTGTTGTTTTTTGTACCATTCTTTCGATCCAACAGCTGGAAGCAGTGGTCAGTGGTGTCCTTTTTGCTCCCTTTTTTCCATCCAACAGCTGGACACCAGTGATGTTTTTTTTTGCCTTTTTTTCCATCCAACAGCTGGAAGCTATTTTCGGTCTTTGGCCAAATACACTGTGGGGGATACAATTTGGCTTTTTGGAGATTCCCTCTGTGCAGATGTCCTTTTGATTTCTCCTCGTTGAACGACTGCTTTGTAGGGGTACCCTCCAAAAGACGCGACCCCAAACTTCCCCTGAAACAACATCGCCGCTTTCGGAAGCTCACCTTGATGCCATACCAGGAAGGGAAACCTAGGGACCCATGCTTTGGGGGGGGTTGGATTACTTGGCGGTGTCCATGGCTTGGGCTTGATGTTGTTTTTTAGATGGAGGGAGAAAGCGAGACATTTCGAAAGGTCCATCAACTTTAGCAAGTCAACGAGCTGAGTTTCCGAGAAAGGGGAAGGCCGGTTTGGGTTCCTCCCAAATTTAAATTAGGGCTTTGGGAGGTCGAATCTTGATTTCCCGGAACATCTGGTTACAACGTCTTTCCCGGGGACGTGCTGGTGTTAAAATGAGGTTTCAGGAATCCCCCTTCAAGACTTGAAGGAATCTCGTCATGGGCAGGGGAAGCCCGCGTTGTCACAGAAAGGGCGGTTTTCTCAAATGGAATCCTTGCCAAAGCCGTTTTCTCGTGCTAAATAGGCCATCTTTCCAGATGACTCGCTGGTGCGATAGGTACGGAATGACCTTCCGGGTGTTGGGAATAAACCTAGGGGTTTGCTTAGGAAACCAGAGGGATGGCTTTTCTGGGAATGATTCCATATCTCCTTCCCTGCCTATCGAACCAGCAAGATGAGCAGTTTATAGTCGTTTTTCTAGACGCCCTGTGCCGCCAGTTCAGTTTTCTTTGACCTAGCTGGTGCTCAGTTGGGAATGAGGGAATGAACCTGGGGGGAATGAGCCTGGGGGGAATGAACCCGGGAAGTCCCATAAAGGAAACCGCCAGTTGGATGGTTTAGGGTCATTGCCTGGTTGCAACTCATTCCCCGACGCAAGTGACACAGGAGGCACTCACCACCCACGTGCCTTCGCCCATGCGGGTGCCGGACTTCGCGCCGCGGGTCAGCGTCTTGGACGAGCGGTGCCGCGCCTTTGGAGAGAGCGGAAGCTTCTTGACGCCCCTCAGCTCGCTGGCGGCGTGGCTGCACCTGACGTGATATCGATCCATAGGCAGGGAGGGAGGTTTTGGAAGGACCCCCAGCAAAACCATCGATCCCCGATTTGGGTTTCTTTAAGGGAATCCCCAAAACGGTTATTTCCCAAAACCCGGGATGGTCATTCACTACTAAGCACCGGAAAGTCAAGAACCCGAAGACGTGGAGGTGTCTTTTTTAGGAATTGGACCCTCCCAAAATGGCGTCGGTTTTCCTTGAGGTTTCCCTGCAACACCATGGATTTCAACTGGGGCTCGCTTTGGTTGACTTCATGTCATTCCCGATGGAAATTCGTGGAATGAGCCATGGTCAAAGACCTTCGCTTACCTGGGTTTGGTAGGGACCGTCATGGAATGTCATGGACCCCTTACTAGAGAAGTTAGATAACCTTTGTAAAGATTTGACCACGGCCCACACAAAGAGTTTTAGCTTTGGCACATGGATGTGCGCCCATGATGTAGTTTGTTTTCCTGGGGGTCCAGTTCGTATTTCAGGTGGATGTGTTTATGGAATTTCGGATTAAGTTCTAAAACTTGCTTGCCCAAAATTAGGTATCGGACGCACTAAGTTCACTAAATGTTGGGTTTCCTGGTGGGTGCCCTTGAAACAAGTTGCCTGCTTAAGCACCTCATGCGCATTTTGAAGATTTTGGTTGCAGTCCTGGCCTGCCTTCGGGTTGTGAATCTTCAAACTTTTTGGGAAGCTGTGTATGTTCCCCCTATATGGGTGTGTCTTTTTATGAGGGAACCCTTGTTTGGTAGGCTTTAAGCAGAAACCAAGAGGAAGACAACCCATTGGGGGGTGCCCTGAAACAGACACACCCATATATACAACCAGAAAAAGGCTAAGCAAGATGGGGCTTTTTTACCCCACAAGTGACATCCTTAAAAAAATCCACCTCTCAATGGGTGGTCAAAGGGAATCCGCCGGGACCCAACAATAGTTCGGAGAACTCCAAGTTTCTCGCTTCCAAAGTAAACATAATTTTCCGACCTTGGTCCAATTGGCGGATGTCCGGAGCCCGGCAAAAGTCGCAGGAGGGCCGCAATCAAAACCCGGGCAGATGAAGGTTCGTAAGGGACAATCCCAACCATACTTTAAGTAGCTGCGGCCGCCTTCCTCATTCACATTGTGGGTAGACCAGTTTACTACCGGGTTTTGACTATGACTCAGGAGGGCCACGGTTTGGTGGAGCACTTGCGGCGGCAGTTGGAGGCCTTGGGCTTGCTTCAGCCAGACGCCGGCATCGTGCTGAGCCTCTCCGGGGGTACCTGGACGAATGGGAGAACCTAAAAACTTGGTGGCCCCCAGCCATCCGGTTCCTTAGCCTTTTAGCTTTTTAGTGTTTAGTGGTAGTTTCCATTTAACCCTCTAAAGGTTTAACTTTTAGCGGGGGATCTGAGGGCAGCCAAGAAAACGGGGGGTGGGGGGGGGTTCTCAAAATGGGGATGCCCGAAAATGGCTGGGTGTCTTTTGGGTTTCCTTCTACTCAGACTCAGAGTTCCTGGACTTGAGAAAGTGTGGGATTTTCCATTTTAGTAGAGGTTTGGACTTTTTCTGGCCAATCCACTCAGGAAGTGAGTTTTAATACCCGAAAGGGGGTCCGCCAGTTTGAGGAACTCCCGACCAAAGCACAGGGGTAGATTTGTTCCGGTTGATGGGGTGGCTGGACGTGTGCATTACTTTTGCATGGACCAGTCAAGATTAGGATTCTTAGATGTGAGTGTGCCTTACAATGATAAACAGCCCCCAGCCTTGTTGAGGGGATTTGCTGAACCCTTCTTGGGATTTGCTGGTCTCCTCATTTGAGCAACACACAGTTTGACTATCGCTTTTGGGGTCCTGTTGCTCAACTGAGCAGCATCGTAGGTGGCACTCATTCGGTAGCAAGGCCCATGCTAGCCTTTCCAAGCAAACACCAATGGTGTCCGGAGTGCGGGATAGAGGGCCCAAAATGGCCGGTGTTCCCTTTGGATCCCCTTCAAACCAACCCCAGCACGGGTTAGCCTCAAAACCAGCCATTTGAATTGGACGCCTTAGGCGTGGACAGTATGGTCACCTGCTGCCTGCTTCGGCTGCTGCAGAAGACTGTCGCCTGGCAGCTTTCCGCGGGCGAAGGTGCCGTGAGGATGTGAGGACGTGAGGGAAGATCCGTGTGAAAATTATGGAGAAGCAAAGGGCTATTCCACTGTGAGATGTTAGCATTTGGTACCTTCGCGCAGGGGCACCCAGAAAATGACATAATTTACATATATATATATATATATATATACAGACACACACACACACACTTCATGCATTGATACCACTAAAATGGTGTAAACCGAACTTCGAGCACCTTGCGGGCCCTGCTTGAGCTCCTTACTAGTAAAGGGCTCAGAGAGGTTTGGGTCCGCATTTTTGGTCCGAAATCAAAGGGACCGTTGGTTTAAGGGTTGATTATTTGTGTTGTTAGAGGTGTTTTTTAGGGGCTTGGGTCATGGTCAAAGCCAGGATTTCCATTGGCATTTGCGCTTCTGGAGTGCATTTGGTGGTGCATCAATCAAAGCAATCCCAAAACGGGGACCTCCCTCAATTCAAGCTCAAACGCCGAACTGGCTCGCACAACCAGCATTAGGGGCCCCTGTTGAAACGCCAGCTCTGAAATATACCAAAGCTGTGTATTTATTATATACATATATATATATATACATTATGATTCATAATATGATGATAATTCGCGCCATGACAATGATAATAGCAGCAACAAATAAGAATTCCCCGAAAGTTCGGAGCCTGGCTGAGTGAATCGAAGGTTCCTTTCGAAGCTTTTGGCTGCACCTCAGGTGCCTCTCCGGTGGTGCGCCATGCACCTCTGCCACCCCAACCGCGAGGACGCCAAGGACGGAAGTCGGCGCACTGCATGGGGAAACAAGGCGCCGGACCTGGGTTTCGGGTTCCCTCAGAGAAATCAACGGGAGGATTGTTCTAAAGAACTCAAACTTCAAAAGCAAAAAGGCTGTTTCAACCAACGCCAAAAGGAGGTTCCCACCGAATTCTGTGCAGCAAAGGGTCCAGGACCCAGAAACAAATTCATGTCCGTGTGAGGAAGAGTGGTTCACAGCATGGTTCTGCCCATTTCACAGCAAGCTCGCCTGGGGGTATAACGAGCGAGAGCCGTGATAAGGGTCCTTTACTTGGGGATCCAATTCTCAATTCAGATTTTGGAATTAGAGTAACTTCCATTTGCTCAGGCATATGTGTATATATGTTCCAGCGGACTTAAACAAATGATTCAAAGGCATCGAAAGTTCTCCCTGCTCTGTGAGGACGAAGAGGCCTGGGTGCAGTGGAGCTGTCACAAGCTCCAGGTGGACCTCCTCAGCTCCTCCTCTGAAAGCCGTGGGTCAGCTTCCGACGATTTGGCCGTGGGTCAAAACTAATGGGATCCCATTTTGGGGTAGGTGCACCACCCATTCTAGCCTATTTTAGTGGGGATTGGGATGTTCACTGGGGGTACGATTTGGATTTTGACCCATGGCCGTTTGGGTATGGGTCAGGTTTTAGTCCTTTCAATTTACCAGGGCTCCATTTTAGGTATCTATTGTTGACCTACACCCATTTTTTTTGAGGGCACCATTTTTGGGGGGTTGGTTGAAAGGGAAGCCAGCAGTCAACCACCCATTTTGAGGGTTTTCCAATTTTAGGCAGGGTCTCGGGGTGCTGTTGAGGATACCGCCTGAGCTTATGTATTGGTCCGGGGTAGCTTCCCATTTACCAGGTTTAAATCCCCAAGCCAAGCCAAACCACCAATTGGAGGGCAGCTGAATGGATATTTTTCGAAACTGGAGATTTGTTGGTGTTCATTTAATGGGAAACCAAAAGGAAGCCTACCACTCTAAGGATCCCTTCAAGAAACGCCCCATGAAAGGTTTCCCAACAGTAAGAAGTTTCCCATAGAACGCAGGAGGTTTGGGGCACCGGGTTCGACAGGAGAACACGAACCTGGAAACTCAGGTTCAACAACAGGTTGTTTGGAAAGTACCGGGTAGGGGGTGGGGTTTCTTTGCTTTCCCCAAAGTGAGTATGCGTGTATAGTTTGTTTGGGCGGCGTGTTCATGTAAAAAAATGAGCCTTGGCTGGTGTGCTTCGGGTGGGACAGCCCACGAGTCATGACGGACTGTGCGCTGTTTTGGTTGTTGGGTTGATATAACCTTTGGTTTCCTCACCCCAAGAAGGTGTGCGTGCGCGCGCGCTTCGGTGCGCCCAGAGTGTGGACCCTGCCCCACCAGGTCCGAGGTTTCGCCTTTTGAATAAGCCTTTTCTTTGACTTTGCCCTGATTTCCCCAAGAATGGGGAACCCAACCTCATCCCAGCCAGCAAGGGACGTGATCTGTTCCAAAACCTCCCATTCTGTTCACTCGGTCTCTCCCACAAAAGTCGTCCAGTTTCCGGAAGTTAGTTGGCTGTTTGACACAAATGGGCGATGGGATGTTCCGGTATGGAAATTGGAGGCGCAGAGCCTTACCAATTGAACCAGAGGTATAGCTGCCTTACATGTTTGGGATGGAACCTCCAAACCCCATACCTGAAGTGGTGTTGAGAGTGAAGTGCAGCTGGAGGAGTAGTTAAAATCGGATTTCGTGTTGTCACCGTTCGTAGGCGTCACAGTCTCAATTTTCAAGTACCTAGACTTTATGTTTTAGGGGTAAACAGAGAATTTGGGCTTGTCTTGGCCCACCCACTCAAAGAGTGATCAGTGATTCAACGGCGCCATGGGCTGCTTTGCATGAAAGGGGACGTCGCCAAAGCTGGCGGTTGACATGGCGTAATATTGAGCCCCTCGTTGTTTGAAACCTCTGAGGAGAAGGGTTCGGATTTGTCAGATTTGCTCAGGCTCCGTCCAGGTTGCCGCTGGGACCTTTCTAGCATGAAAGTGGGAGTTTCGCGTGAGTGGACCTGCGGGAAGATATCCAAAGTGGCAACCGGCGGCAGAGGTTTCTTTTCGCTATGCGTATGAAAAGCAATCTAAGTTGGGTAGCCTCTTTTGAAGCGCGGCCAGAATATGGCAACGCTGGTCAGGTCATCAATCAGGGGGCCAGGATTCTTGTCAAAGGGTATGGCATGGCCGACTCTCTCTGATCGGGAGAATCGGTTTGGACAGCACTGGGCTTCCCTTCCCACAAAGTGGACATGAACCGAACTTGGACGGCAAAAAGGCATTGGAACCCGCCATTTCCCAGGTTCCAGGTCCCCAGATCTAGGGCTCCAGAGTTTCTCAGGTTCCACTTCTGAAACTTTACAGATCTCAGGGCTGGCGGTTTACCCGGGTGGTTCAATCAAGCACCAGGGAAACCCATCGACTTTGAACCAAAGAGGACACCTATGGCTCCAAAGCTTGTGATCGGGAGGCTACCGACCCCAGATCCGGCGCCCCCACGGGGATCTGCGCACGGGCATCTCGAGGGAACGCTACGAAGAGAAGTCCAAGGCGAGGTGCCGGTCAGTGCTTTGGGAGCTCTGCCTGTTTTAGGTGGGGGATGCGATATGGAATGAGCCCTTGCAAACCATCCCTCTGGTGGTTTCCTTTAAGGGGTTTTACTTGCTGGTGCGATAGGGTAGGGGATGCGATATGGAATGACCCCTTATAAACCATCCCTCTGGTTTCCTTTATTCGGGAATCCCCAGGTTCATTCCATTTCACATTCCCTACTAAGCACCAGCAAGTTTAACCAAGTCCAGTGCCAGGGTTGTGGGATCAAGGGGGTTTTCCCAGTCTCCCCCTTTATATGGGGGGGTAGTCTTTGGGAAGCCCTTTTTGTTGTATCACAGAAGTGGATTCCATTTCCCACAGCCCTGAGTGATACCCTGTGGAAGCCTTTTTGTTTGGTGGGTTCCGCACTAAAAGTGATCAACCCCCGTTTCTATCTGGGCGTTTTGGGTTTTGAGCTCACCAATTCAGGGGTAAAACGAGGGACGCATGAAGGTCGTTTACCTGGTGGCTCCTGAATTCAGGGTTTGAAAGAGCAGAGCATTGAGAGAAATGGTTTGAACAATTAGATCCGTGGCCCTATTCAGGGTGCTTAAAGAATGGGTGTTTATATACTGCATGTTAACTATGGGGGAGGGCTCCACCCGGGTTTTGCACGGTCGCCTCACCAGATCGTGAAAATGTTGCCAATTGGCCAGGCCAACTTTGAATTCAAGCGTCCTTTCGATGAGCGTTTTCTCCGTTCGTGTCAAGGTAAAGCCACCTCGCAACGTCAACCCTCGATTAATAAACTTGAAATTTAGTAGGTGAAGGATTCCTTTCAAATGGCTGCATCCTTCCCGAATCAGCCAGAAGGTTTTGTTGATCTTGAGTTCTCGTAGGGCAAAGTTTCTTCCAAGAACAAATTTGGGTGGGCGTTTTGAGTGGTCGCTCATGGGGAACCCCAAATGAGCCGTGCCCAAACCCCTGTTGGCCAATTCATTTGACAAGGCCTTCTATTGTCAGAGTAAGGTTTGCTGGTTTATTCCTTCCCACCTTTCTCCCGGTTGTCTTGAGATTTCGTTTAGGTCTATCTGACATCAATTGAGTCCGTTGGTCGAACCTCTATGCGCCGGGGAGACGCCCCTCGCCACGCAGGAGATCCGATTCCGCATGTATCAGCTGTGTTTGCAGCGCCTGGGGGTCTCAAAGGCTGGGCTCCGGCGAGTAGAGTTTGTCATGGGTGGGTGTTGAGAGTAAGAAATGGATGTCCACATGTGGAAGGGGGATGTGTGATTTTTTGGGTTGAAGTTGCCACGTGGTGGATGGCAAATGTGGATGCACAAGGCCCACTCTAACTCTACCACCCCCTCCCCCGAAAAGAATGTGTGTTTGATTGGGGTTGAAGTTGCCACGTGGTGCCGCCCCCCAAAAAAAATATTGCCGCCCTGCTGCCTCAGGGAGCCGCCCTGGTGGCGCACCACGAAGACGATGCGGATGAGAACCGGCTGGCGGAGCTGGGGAAAGGCGAGTGGGACAAACCAATTAGCGGTGCTGGTGTCCTTTTTAGTTTAGTTTGGTTGAATATAGATGGCGATTCCTGGTTTCAAGTTGGTTCTAATCCACCAGTGCCTTTCCAAGAGGACACCTATGATTTGGTCCTTTACTTGCTGCGATTGAACTTTTCCGCGTTGGGGGTGATTTCCGAGGACACCAAATCCGGGATGGTTTCTTTCCGGGTCATTCCCTGTCTCATACCCCGCGTACTAGAACCGTCAAAAGACACACTCGATTCAATCTGGGGCATAATTGCCCGGGGTCAGAACATTGTTCGCCCGTCGTTCCTGCTTGTGTGTTGGGTTTTCTCCTTGAATGGAATCGCTGGTTTCTGCCGGGGTACGTTTGGGATAGGTTTCCCTCCGAATTCAGGGGACACTCGTCATCCTGTCTTCCTTGATTTGAACCAAAGGAAGCGGCAAGTGCTATTCTGGCTGGCTTTCAGGGATGAGCCTATATGGGGCAAATCAAAACCGACGAGGTGAGACAATTTCCCTCCACCGCTTAGTTCTGTGCTGAGGCCTGGGCCTCTCAACCTACTCCTTTTAGGTGTGAAATCCATGTTCCGGACTTGAAAGTGAACTACGGCAAGTCTGGCTTGCTTCTATCATGAGCTTCTAAGGCCTTATTCAGGGTTTAGATGATAGCCAAAGCCCACCCCTCTCCCAAAGCCTTGGAGGAAGAATTGCTTGCAAGCGAGGCAACATCGTTCACATCAACGGGATGGCTGCCAGCGGAGAGACGCTGAACGTCACGGTGGTACGGCCCCTCTTGAAGGCCAGCGCGAAGATGTGCGTTTGTGTTGAGTGTGTGCTTGTGTGTGGATGCATAATATGTATACAACAGCTATATGGTAACATAATGAACATATATATATATATATATGGTGCATGAGCAAAAAACCTAATATATGTATATATATATATCATGTGTTACACTATATGCAATGATATGTAGGTTATAAATTAATATTAAACCGAGATATGGTCTAAGACAATATAATATATAGCATGTTGCATATTTAAGGGCTGCCGCCCTGTGCCGCCGGCCCCTGCTTGCTGACAGGGGACGTTGTTATGACAATTATGACTACGCATTTTTTGGCGGGTTTCACGGCGCATTTAAAGCAATATGAAAAAGACGAGCAGCACGAAAATGATGATGTTTTTGATGATGCATTTTTCCCAACATTAGGGATGCTGATACTATGCATTTGCATTATCGCCAGCAGTTATGATGATATTTGTTACTTTGCATTTTTTAGCATCACCAGCAGTTGTTCTGATAATTATGACGACGCATTCCATCTCATCTCAAACAAGCCGCTGCGGGATAAATTTGAATTTTACCAGAAGTGTCTCGGGTGTGTGGAAACTCGGGCAGGAAACCCATGTTGGGGGCCTTTTTTGTTTTTGTTTTCTTATTCTCAAGACTTCGATGTATTGCTGTGGATGCGAAGTGTGGACTTTGTGACTTTGTGCCATCGCTTTGTCTTCGCGAGAAGTAAGCCGTTAGGAATGAACATGATGATGATGACGATGGCGATGATGATGAACAGGATGATGATGATGATGATGATGATGATGATGATGATGATGATGATGATGATGATGAACACCACCATCATCATTTTCATCATGATGTTCATCATCATGTTCTTCATCATCATCATCATCATCATCATCCTATTGATAATCATCACTGCGCATCCTCAGCGTCACCAGCAGTTAACGTCCTCATTATGCATCCCCAGCATCAGCAGCTCATCATTGTTTTCATCATCATGTTCATCATCATGTTCATCATCCTCATCATTTTCATCATCATTTTCATCATCCTGTTCATCATCATCAGCAGCATTTTCCTGATGACAATCATCACTACGCATCCTCAGCATCACCAGCAGTTAACGCTCATCACTATGCATGACAATCATGACAACGCATCCTCTGCATTTCCAGTCGGGTCTAACGGCACGGTTTTGATGATGAACATGATGAGGGACATGATGATGCAAATGATGATGATGATGATATGATGGTAAAGATGATGCTGATGATGATGAACATGATGATGAAAATGATGTTCATCATTATCATCATCATCATTTTCATGATAATGCTCATCATGTTCATCATTATCATCATCATTATCATCATCATCATCCTGATGATAATCCTCAGCATCACCAGCAGTTGACGTCATCACTATGCATCCCCAGCATCAGCAGCAGTCATGACAACGCATCCTCTGCATTTCCAGTCGGGTCTAACGGCACACTTGAAACGTATATGAAAAAGAAGAGCGCTACGGTTTTGAACATGATGAGGAACATGATGATGCAAATGATGATGATGATGAAGAACACATGATGATGATGGATGATGAACATGATGATGAAAATGATGAACATACATGAAAAACAGATGGAAATGATGATGATGATGATGATGATGATGATGATGAACATGATGATGAAAGTGATGTGTGTTCAATGAAAATGATGATGATGATGATGATGATGAACCTGATGAACAAGTAGTCATGATGATAATCATGACGACGCATCCTCTGCATCACCAGTGCTCTCTAACGCAACACTTGAAATGTAGAGTTTAGAAAAGTGTAGAAAGAGATGGTGATTGCTACGATGATGACGACGATGATATTGATGACGAGGGTCCTCATGATAATCATGTCCACGCATCTTGATGATGATGACATGATGAGGATGATGATGAACACCACCATCATCACTTTCATCATCATGTTCATGGTTTTCATCATCATGTTCATCATCATCATCATCATCATCATTTCCATCATCATGTTCATCATGATCATCATGTTTTTCATGTCCATCACCCGAGCAGATATCATGACAACGCATCCTCTGCATTTCTTCTCGGGTCTAACGGCACATTTGAAAACATGATGATGATGATGACGGTGATGAACATCATGATGAAAATGATTGATGATGATGAGCATGATGAATGAGGATGAACACCATCATCGTTTTCAAAGGATGAGGACTGTGATGATAACTATCATCGTAGCATCGTCGGCATCACCAGTGCCGGCTACTAAGAGACGATGACGACGACAAAGATGAGGGCTGTTGTATCATCGTAGCATCCTCGGCATCATCAGTGCCAGCTAACCAGAGATGATGATGACCATGATGATAGTGATGAATAAGGATGAGGACTGTGATGATAACTATCATCGTAGCATCCTCTGCATTGCCAATGGGGTCTAACGTTACTTTTGAAATGCATATAAGAATAAGAATAAGAACAAGAACAAGAATGAGATGATGATGATCATGATGATGATGATGAGAAGAGCGATGACATCATAATAAGGGTGATCCTGATGATGATTATGATGATTAATAAGAGATGATGATGACATCCTCGGCATCACCAGTGCCGGCTAATAAGAGATGATAATAACCATGATGATAGTGATGATAAGGATGAGGACTGTGATGATAACTATCATCGTAGCATCCTCTGCATTGCCAATGGGGTCTAACGTTACTTTTGAAATGCCTGTAAGAATAAGAATAAGAACAAGAACAAGAATGAGATGATGATGATCATGATGATGATGATGAGAAGAGCGATGACATCATAATAAGGGTGATCATGATGATGATTATGATGATAACTATCATCGTAACACCCTTTGCATCACCGGTGCTGCCTAATAAGAGATGATGATGACATCCTCGGCATCACCAGTGCCGGCTAATAAGAGATGATAATAACCATGATGATAGTGATGATAAGGATGAGGACTGTGATGATAAGTATCGTCGTAGCATCCTCTGCATTGCCAATGGGGTCTAACGTTACTTTTGAAATGCATATAAGAATAAGAACAAGAATGAGTTCATCATCATCATCATCATTTTCATCATCATGTTCATCATCATTATTTTCATCATGTTCCTCATCATGTTCATCACTATGCATGCCCGGTCTTTGCAACGCATCCTCTGCATTCCAGTAACGGCACACTTGAAACGTATCTGAAAGACGAGCGCCAGAACATGATGATGCAAATGATGATGATGATGATGATGAAAATGATGATGGTGGTGTTCATCATTGATGTCCATGATGAACATGATGATGAAAGTGATGATGGTGGTGTTCATCATCTTCATCATTTTTACATCATCATCATCTTCATCATCATCATGTTCATCATCCCCATCATGTTCATCATCATCATGTTTATCATCCTGATGATAATCATTGCTACGCATCCTCAGCATCACCAGCAGTTCACGTCATCACTATGCTATGCATCCCCAGCATCAGCAGTTATCACAGCATGACAACGCATCCGTGCATTTCAAGTCTTGTCTAACGGCACACTTGAAAGATGAACACGATGAGGAACATGATGATGAAAATGATGATGTGGTGATGATGATGAACATGATGATGATGATGATGATGATGAACATGATGATGATGAACATGAACATGATGATGACGAACACCACCATCATTTTCATCCATCACGATCATCAGCATCATCATCATCATGGATATCATTTTCATCATCATCATTTTCGTCATCATGTTTATCATCCTGATGATACTCATCACTACGCATCCTCATCATCACCAGCATTTCACGTCATCAGTATGCATCCCCAGCATCAGCAGCATGACAATCATGACAACGCATCCTCTGCATGTCCAGTCGGGTCTAACGGCACACTTGAAACGTACATGAAAAAAGAAGAGCGCCACGTTAATGATGATCCGGATGCTGTGAACCATCACCCAACATCAGCGGTGATGATAATCATCACTAAGACCAGGACAAAGACAAGCCCTTCCCATGCGCCTCCCCTTTGGAGAAAGGGGTCGGCGGATCATAAGGTATGTTAATATAACACAATATAGTATAACATAAGAAAGCATGGAAACACACTACATGTGTTATGTACACACGTATACATATATGCATTACAATGTAGAACATATCACACCAAAACAATTTTCGATATGATTTGATGTGATTTATGCTTGTTTATTTTCTGATAAACGTATAAACCACATTCTCATATCATACCAGTAGAGCCCGACGAGCCGGGGGTCAGAAGTTTCAAAAAGGGAAAGGTGCCCATGAAAGCAGGGCAAGCTGCGCTCGGACACGTTTGGTGGGCAATTGACAAACTTCCGGCAGATTTTCCTCCAGCTGGTTTCCGGCAATTATCCACGGGTTTATCCGGAAATGTGCCTAAATGGGGTCAATACCAGTGGGTGTATTCCCAGAGTGTAATACAAAACCCCTTAGACTGTTTAACCCAGGAAAACTGTGGCCAGGTGCGCAAGCAGGAGCTTCTAGACTTTGCCGACCAGGCACAGGTCTGCTACATGCAGGACTCCACGCCCAAGTGGAGCAGACGCGGATGGATCCGGCACGTGCTGCTTGGTGTGAAGTTGGCCATCACGTCTTTGCTTCCATTAGCAGATCTTCTTTGAAGCCTTTGAAGCCATGAGATACATACCATACATGCATACGTACATACATACATACATACATATATAGATAGTTTGATTTCCCAAGGGTTCTGTTGTGCGATTGCTTTTGGTTCATTGTGTTTCCACTTTTCCTGGCGGCGGCGTTCTTGATTAACGGGGATTCAGGATGATTTGGCTGTTGTTGTCACAGGGGAGCTCCGAGTTCCTGAAAGATGGGGTGACTTGGGGTATCAGATTTCCCGTTGGGAGCGCCAGGATGCAAGCCAAAACGCTGAGGTAAGCCGTCCGCTGATTTAGCCGATGGGTTTTGTTGAACCATCCAGGTCCATTTCAGTTGACAAATGGCATGGGGTTTCCTGGCTGCCCAGGCGAGCGAAACAAACAGCGGCCGGTTCGATTTATGCTGCGCTCAGGGTCCGCTGCTACGTGACATATCCCTCTAAAACTTCATCTTTTAGCAAGGGATCAACGAACCACGAAGATATACTAAGAAAAGGTGACCCTCCCCGTTGTTCAATTTGAGTGGACCCCAAATGGGCGCGGATGGTTTTGTTTGAGCCATGGAGGGCATCAGCCACCAACAGCTGAAATCTATGGGGTTGACAGGCCCACATAGGCGACAAGGGGTGGTTTGGGGCAGCTTTCAGGCAGGGTTCCGGAGGGTTCCGGAGGGTTCCGGAGGGTTCCGGAGGGTTGTGGAGGGTTCCGGAGGGTGTGGAGGATAGCACCTGATCTTGTTGTTTGTTGTTTCATGATCTTTTTGGGAGACTTAAGGACAATCAAGGCCTTCCGATAATTTGCATCAAATCCTAAAAGACAGCACCCTAAACGAAGGTTAACAACTCATTCGACCCAAAGTATCCCTCCTGCCTTCTGACGAGCCCTGCCTTTCCTTGCTGGTTCTAGGGGATCCGCCATTTTCTGCATGAAGCAACGCAACCCCAACGACAGCCACCAGATGGATGGTTCACACTTCGGGCAAGCGGCTGCTTCCGCTTGAGCTCGCGTCAGCTGTCTTGCGACGCACGCGACAGCCGACCTCGCGTCGCGCGTCGCGAGGTTGGACGAGTTGAAGCTCCATGATGCCTCGGACTTCGGGCGCTTCTTGTCGCTGCTGTCGAAGGCCGGCGAGGCCTCCGAGCTGCTGGGGGAGGCCATCGACGCGTCTCTGGGCGCCTGGAAGCTGACGCTCGGCGATTCGGCGTATGACGTGAGAGCTGGGAAAGGAGTTGGTCCGAAGCGGCTTCAAGCGGTCTCTGGAGAAACTCAGTTGCAACCACAGCGAATCGACCTGATCTGACCTTTTCATTTCCCCCTGTTGGTCCATTCTAGTGGCCCCACAAGGTTAACCCTTTATTTGTAGGTTCGTATTGGGCAATGGCCATATGAAGTGAGACATCTACACATCGGTTTGGATTCTCCCAAAAGGAGAAGCCCACTTTTGATTGGGGAATCAAATGGATGTCTAAAAAAGGTGATTGACGTTTTGCTCAAAAAGAGCAAACCAGTGGGGCATTTCCATCTTTCTTGGTTTTGCGGGGATTCCCTTTGAAGTCAGGCCGCGGGTTGGGATGTTGTTACAAGCCAAAGGGCGGGGAGGGATGGGAAAATGTTGGACGACGATCTCCACTGGCACCCTTGGGTTGCCTTTGGACGGGGTTCCCACCTAATCCGAGAGTTACAGGATTGAAATGAGGCTGTTCAACCGCTGTCATACTAGACAACTGTTAATCACCACCAAAGAAGGGGTCATTCGTATTCTGGAAGTAGTTCCCAGATCCCTGCTGCCGAGCAGAAAAGGCCCTAAACTTCAAGCTGGTTTATCCAACAAATAAGAGACCCAAAACTAGGCCTGCAAATGTGGGGTATATTCAAGGCGGTGTTTTTGATTTCCCCATCAAGCCTCTTTTTAAACCCCAATGCCTCCGTCGGGGGGAACACGCCTCCAACTTTCAACCCGAAGGCAAACCGCGGGACATGGTTCGACCAGAGTTGAAACAGCCAAGTGTCAAAACGAGTACAGTCGCACCATCTAGTTTCAAACACTTGCAGCCCTACACAAATGTTGGACCTTCCGCTTTGACCTTTGCTTTGTTTTCTATGAAACAATCCGTCTTGACTTTGATTGACCTTGGCGTTGACATGGACTGTTTGTATTGTTTGAAATGCAAGCTGCGGGCTTTTGTTTTCATTCCTGAGCAGAAGCATTAGCTTGTCTCGTTCTTCCATCACTGTTTGATGAAAACCAACCGCTCGTTTAGGCTTGCCAAACACTCCCCCCCCCCCCGAAAAGAAAACGGCACAAAGAGCACAGCGCCAGCATAGATCCCTCGCGAGGAACGACATCTACACGGGAGTCGTGGCGGTGCCGGCTACGAGTTTCGAGGAGAAGAAGGGCTCCAATGAAGCTGAACCCGACGCGGTGCATTTTCCCGCCACGGATGTGCAGCATGGCCGCACTTAGCTTTTGCCATGCTGGGGGCATGAATCTTGACGGTGTCTGGGAGTATCAAATTCAGAAGATGGGGGTTGTTTCCCTTTAACGCACCACTTGTGTCCCCCAGTAGTGCCCCTTTACCCTCTTTTTTGGCGGAGGTTTCCCCTAAAATAGACTACGGCAAAAAGGGGCACCCCTATTCCAACCTCTCTGCTGAAGGACCTTTTTTCTTGGGATTCACCAAAAGGTCCAGGTCAGACGTTTGGACCACCCCTTTGGTCTTGGCCTTTTCTCCAGGCAGGTGGTGGTCATGAGGATGCCCGCGTTGTTCCAGCTATCCAAAGACTTTCAGGCCAAGGCTGGAGAAAGTGGGCCGCCTAACGGCGGAACGCTGGATGCAAAAGGCGGTCTGAATAGGCAAACGTGCAAAATGTCATAGAAATTGCTATTCTGTGTTTTGTTTGCTGGCTTGGTAGTTAGTCGCTTTGCTTAGTTTGATTGTTTGATTGTTTGATTGTTTGATTGTTTGATTGTTTGTTTGTTTGTTTGGTTTGCTTGCTTGCTTGCTTTCTTGCTTGCTTGTTTGTTTGTTTGTTTGTTTGTTTGTTTCTTTGTCTATGTCGTGTGTCCTTGTTTGTGGTATTGCGTGTTGCGTCTAACAAACTAGACTACCGGAAAAAAAAACATCGGGTAGCCTTATTCTACCCTCTCAAATCTGGAGGACGTAGAGAAAGTTCTAAAACTTTTTCTGGCCAATCCCATTCGAGCGGAAGTGTCATAGGTGTCCTTGTTGGTTGTTTTGGTAGAAAAATAGATGGATCCCAATCCCCACTAAAATCGGTTCTAAAATGGCTTGTACACCAAATAGAGTAGAATGGGTGGTGCACCTACCCCGAAATGGGATCCCAAAACGGTTTTGATATTCACAGCCAGTTGCTCTCGCTGGGCAGGTGACGGACCTCATGGAGGACTTCCGCCAGATCGCGCAGCTTTGGAACGTCGCGATCCAGCAGCAAGCGAAGGGACGGCTGGCGCTCGAGGAGAAGATTTCACCCGTCCGCTTGCTGCCTTCGGCCGGTTGTTCTTTTTTGGGTGAACCTCCATGTGCTGAAACGAATATGTGTTTGTTTTCTTCTTCCTGCTGGCTTCGAAGGGAATCTATCTCTATATATGTTCTCATTTAGTCAGGGGGCAGAAAAGCAAGTTGAAGTGGACCAGTTTCTGGGCTCCCCTTGCAAGTGGCAAGGCATTTTGGAGAGGTTGAGTTTAAAAAATACACGTACCTTAGCCCCGCCGGTGTCCCTTTACGCCGCCCAGAAAGTTGAGTTTTGAGGATGCGTCATGTTGTGGCAGAGGAGAATACCTCCAACGAGCCCCTCCCGGAAGGCCCGCCTTCGATACCGCACTCACGGTTTTTCTGGGGCCGCGGTCCATGGGGTGTGTCTGCCTTCAATAACGGGGCTCCTTGTCGTGAGTATTGAGTTGTGCCTGAAACCAAAAGCAAGCCGGGGGCGGGGGGTTGGGGGGGAGCGGGAGGTTGCTCTCTTGAGACCGCAAAATACTGTGCAGGATGAAGTGGACGGGGACGACCAGCCGGGCACTTGCCCACTGCAACCCATCCGTGTATGCGACGGCAACTTCGAGACGCTCGGGCTTTGAGAATTCTGTATGTTTTAATTAGGTCCGTAAGGATGAACAGTTTACGTCCCCCTTGCCACTTAAGGTTGGTGAACAGGAAACGAGGGCCAGGCGTCAAAACGTCACTATGTTTGCAAATGGCAGAAACACATGAACCATTGTGGCGACGGGTTGCGAAGCAGGCAATGGGTGAAACTATCAATGATTCACTTATTGGCCAGGGAAGGACTCCATCTTTGCAGGCAGAGTAGATTGTCAAATGTGGGGGGCCGGCATGGGGGGCCGAATCAATGTCCGCAAAAACTGGCGACTCCTTCTCCTTCAAACTCGATGTTTTTGTTTTCTTGTTTTTTTTTTTTTTTTTTTTTTTTCTCGGGTAGGCTAAATCTGGAGCAGAGTCAGACAAGCTGTTTTTCCCCCTTTTTTTCCGTTTTTCCGTGCACCCCAGATGTGAGCCAAGACAACCAGGTAGAAGGGAACCACAAAACCCAAGGGAATCCGAAGGGAGTGTCCTAAGGGAATTTGTCAAACTTAGGATTCTCAGTTTGGGAATCGTTTGCCCAGAGGTTGGAATAGGCAGAGGATTTCCGCAATGGGCACATAGACTAGGGAGGTGGAATCCTGGCGGTTCTCAGGCAATGAGTTGGAATGACCCCCAAACAATACAAGGATGTCATCTGTTGAGTGAGTAATGTTGACCCTATATTAATCAATTTCAGTTTCTTAATAAGGGGTGTTCCGCTCCAAAAGTGGTCTGAATCCCCATCAAAACCAGGGAACAGCACCCCCTACTAATAAACTGCTTGGTTCATGAATATAGGGTCAACTTCTCAACAGATGACATCCCTATATTCTTCGGCCTCCTTTTGGTCGTCACCAGTTGCACGGGAGGGTCATTCCAACTCATTGCCTGCTGAGAGCCTCCTTCCAGAAATCCCTCAGGATGGGTCCCTTTGTCCTGGGCCGCGGCATCTGCGTGGCGCTGAACGCCATCCCGGAAGTGGACCATCTGCTGAAGGGCCAGCTGGCTGCCCGCCGCGCGGCCGAGGGGAGCGTTGAGCCAGAGGCCCTTAGATGAGTCTTCTCTTGCGGCGGTTTGAACTGCACCTTTTGGCCTGGTGTACTTTAAGGTTAGATTACTTGGTTCGATAAATTGTCGTTGGGATTGAATTGCTCGAGAAGATTTAAAACAGGAGGGGTATTTTGTGTTGTTTCGATGTCTTTTCGCTTTTGGCAGTTTGGCTTCTTGGCTTTTCAGCTTCTTGTTGGTTTATGCGGGCTTGTTGGCTTTTCGCATCCTTTGCATTCCGAGTTCCTCTCCGGCAGGTGGCGTTGGCTTTTGCGGCTCTGCGTTGGTTTGTGCGGCTTTGGTGGCTCTGGCTCTTGGTGGCTTTGGCTCTGCTTTCCCAGTTCCTCTCCATCGGCTTGTGGCTTTTCACCCTTCAAAGGTGTTTGGCTTTGGCTTCCCGCATCCTCAGCAGCACCAGTTCCTCTCTGGCAAGTGTTCTTTATATTTTGTGTTTTTGTACGTATGCATGTATGTATGTATGTATGTATGTATGTATGTATAAATGTCATGAGAAAATGCTGTAAAATGCGACATTATCTGGCCAAGACACAAAATGAAAAAAGAACACCAAAAGAACGGGGGGGAGTTGATGGGGTGCTGCTTAAAGATTGTGAGCTGATCAAAATTTGAGGGAACTTTGCCAGACATTCAGAGGCAGCCTCCAAATTCTTTGCCATGTCGACACCGGATGACTCAATCTGGTAGATGACTAGGAGGTCCCCCAAAAATGAAAGGTGTTCCTCCAAAATGGCATGAAGCCAGCGGGGGTTTATTCATGCAAGGTCAATTCGACCGAGCAAGCCCTGTTTATACTAGGGCAAGTTTAAAGAATAGAATCGAGGCAAGCATTTGGGCTTATGGGCAACTTGATTTGCAGGGGCCTGGTTTGGTGGGTTTGGGCAAGGCTGGAAGGACACTGCTTGATCTTCAGAGACATCAAGAGTTAAAGGGAAGCCGTTAAGGCCAGGGCCCTTTTTAAGCTGCCGATTCTTGTTTCTTGTTGCTTTCAGACTGCCTTGTCTCTGTTGGCAACGGAAAAGGCCGGTGGATGCAAGATTGATCTTGGATGACACTTGAAGGATCATAGCGGACCAACCTTCCTTGTCAAGTACGCAGAAAACTGAAGTTTCTCAACATTCCAAAAGAGGTCGCTCAAAGCCGACGTTGAGAAGAACAAGACCTTTCATGTGGCAAATTTGTCCAACAGGGGTGCTTTTCTTGTCGAGCCACCGCCTCGTGGTATTTGTCCATCACCGGCTCTAGACTAAACTGGAATTCCTGCTTGACCATTGGAGGGGGAGGGGTGATCCAAGAGGGAATCCTTTACCTTTGGAGAAGACACCCCGCTGTTAACCCGCCGCCAGTTTCAATTATCGGCAATCCTTCTATGAGCCCTTGGGTTTTGCAAAGTAGCTTGTTCATGATCACCTGCTGGTTCTCAGATTCCGATGAGCTGGGTCATATCCCAATGGAAGCGACTCGGTCAGGTAAGGCGCTGAAGCACGTGTGGGACTGTGTGGCCCGGGCACGGAGAGAGCACCACTGGGGCACTATGCACAAGCTCTGCCCCTTCCTCTATGCCGAGGGCCGAGTTTTCGCTAGAACTGCTGATCTGCGGGTGCGGTCGAGAGGTCTATGCTTCATTTGGGAGGTCGGGATAGGGGGACGCCAATTCCCCCCCCCAAAAAAAAAAAAGAACACGAAAGAAGAAAGAAATAAGCTGAACAAATCACCGGCCGTTTCTTTGATAGATACTGCATATTTTGACCGAGGCTGGGGCCCTGTATATACTCAGAAGAGTCAGCCCCAACCCGTAAGGGGTACATAGCCCTTGGGTGTGTCTCTCAAGGTGTGGGACCCAGATGGGGCCTGGGATCCCGTAACAGCCCCATCTGCCATGTTCAAAGCACCCAGATACCTTGGGGTACAGGGCTCGTCATTCTCCACCGTCCCAAGAAGTGGAGAGGCAACCACATCTCTGGGTCCGCGACGGGCTGGCCGTCCCTTGTGTTTGTTGTCCAAACGGGAAGCCGCGTTTCCCTCCAAGCCCGAACATCACGTCAGGATGTTGGAGCTGGAAAGTGCACGTAGGCGGATCGATGTCGGTGGCTGACGCAAGGCTAGGCTCGTGCCGTGCTCAAACATCCCAACGCCGCAAGATTCCTTGAACAACTTCACTGCTGAGATAGCCGGGGCCCCCAAACCAAGAGACAGGAAAAGAAGAGATCCTGTTTGGCTTAGGTAGGCGAAGGAAGGCAAGAAATAACTTGCTGGTGCGTTCATCGGCAGGGAGTTTCGAACTGGAATGACCCTTCTAAACCATAACTGGTGCTTTCCTTTGGGGGCCCAAAGCCTGAGGTTCATTCCATGTCTCATTCCCTGCCGATGTCGCACCAGCAAGATAGGGCGTAGAGAAAACAAAGAATGGCCCAATCGGGTGACCCAAAGAATTGATTGGTTGCCTTTAACCCACCTAAAAGGGGGCTCAGCTCTTCTTGTTTTCCTGACCGACCCATGTTTTTCCCCAAAAGCACTCCGCACTTCCGCCGGGAGCATGCGGCCACCTGTGACGACCGGAGAAAACGAGGTGAGGGAAGCCAGCAGCCTGGTGCTTTGCGATGCGGAGGAGCTGGCCAAAGAGTTCGCGGATGACCCTTTGGCCGAATTTGTGCTGGGAATTGCAACCAGTTGGTTCCCAGGAGGGAAACTCAATCCCAGTCCCAAGAAAGGGGGATTCCCCGAAAGGATTCAGGTATGGGAATTGGAGGTGAAGAAGTGTACCTCTGGCTGGTCGGACGGAGAGTACCAGTAGATGGCGCAAGTCACGGTACGGGCTTGTCTTGAAATAGGGAGGTAACCTCAAGCCCGTCGGGTGTCCTCTGGTTGCCCCTTCAGCCGAGGTACGAGGCAGCTAACTGCAAATAACGAGGCAAGGTGCTAGGTGGAGATTTGAGAATGACCCATTTTGGGATTGGCTTCAGCAATAAGGAACCCCTAACATATGCAAGAAACCTTGGGCGACATCGCAACCAGCGTAGTGACGTCGGTACAACGTGCCCAACAGGGTCCAGGGTTTAAACCAAATTTGCCCACTTGCCCTTTCTTTTTGACCGTGGCGAAGGCTGCCCTGGAAACCGTCCAAGGCGATTTATTTTTGGAAAAGGAGCATCCATGTGGCAGGGCAAGGAAGGTGTGGCAGAACCTTTCGATGAGTTTCCGGGCCCCAAAAAATCCACCGGGCTGTCATTTGAAGGCCGCTTGCCTTAGCCTCCAAAGTAAAGGTCTTTGGCCACAGATCTGTGGTGAAACAGCAATGAGGCCTAAGCCAGCAACGCCAAAACCGGGAGGAATCGAAGCCCTAAATTTCGCGATCCTGTGGGGGGTCGCTGGCTGAGGCTTTGAAGGAAGTTGACCCAGAAATTTTGCATGGGACCATGGGAATAAAAAAGTGGCGCCCTTTTTTTGGGCACGGCGGCGCATTTTCCGGGGTTTGGCTTGCGAGGCGTTTTTTTTCTCGGAAGGGTAACTGACGAGGCGGGGTGGTAAATTCATTTGGCGAAGTACACTAACGAGGTGACGAGGTGAGAATTATGAGAATTTCGCCAGAAGAAGGGTACCCTCAAAAAAGACACCCCATTGGTTAAATGATAGGGAGATTGTGCAATTGTGCCCAACACGAGAACCAACTTTCTTGCGTCAGGTCTGATCCACACTTTGGCACGTGTTTTTTTTCCTTTTTTCTGCGGAGTCTGGGGCTTGGGTGCTCCGCATGGAGCACCGCTCAAAAGCTTTGCAAAACGGGCAAAACGAGCGTTCTTCGCGCCCAAGCATGGGATTCTGAACAGGGTTGTGGTTGATTACTCGGGGTTTCTCTGCCCACTTCTCTGATACTTTTGGGAATTTTCTGATTATAAGGGGGGTTTGGATTTGGGAGGCCCTTTCTGTTGTATCTCAATTCCCAGAGCCCTGATTCTGAATCACAGGCTTTCCGGAAAGAGGCTGTTTGGATGACTCAAAGATTTGACGCCAGGAGCCTCCCTTCTGTGTGCAAAGCAGCAGAGACGAGAAATATGTTTCAATCTGGACACCGAACAGCTGGAGCACGGTCCCGCACCCGAACTCTCCCCAAGGCATGGGGTGAAGAAAGTGGGTGGTGCTAGCTAGGCGTGCAGCCCTTGCTCAGGTTCGCTGGCAGCGGCAGTTTGTGCAGGCAGCCACTTGTTTCCTAGAGGGCCAAAAGCGTTGTCGCGCGAGGGCTACTTTCCCAAGGTGCGTTCCAGAAAAACTGAACGGTACTTTCAAGAGAATATGTTATTAGCCTTTTACATTCTATGTTTGCTTTGGTCAGATGTGGCTGGGACCAGCATAAATGTTTAAAGCATTGGAACCCTGAACCAGTAGGCCTATTTAGTTTAGATCGCTTAGGTCATGTGTGTTTCTTTTTGACATGATTCCATCATTCATTCACAGTCAACCAGGAGGCAGCGCAGGGTTGATTCAGTTCGGACCCTTTACTTTTCCTGGGTGCAATCAACCAAAGTTGATCTGGGGTTGGACTGGACGGTCTATCCATCCGACTTTTTGGCTTGTTTAGCTCTGAAAGTCTTTGCTTTTGGATACCGAACCAGGAAAATGGGCGAGGGTTGGGACTGAAAGGATCCCCGTCGAAGGAATATTCAGCTCACCTGTCCGTGCTGTTGCGGTTGTTCCCTTGGAGCCTTGTGTATGCCAGTGTATGCATTGAGATGCGAAGCAGCATTCTTCTCTTCATCTAAGGCTAAGGAATTTGCAACACTGTTGTTGGTTTCTTTGTCAGATAATTTGTGGTTCACTCCTGCTCGTAGGTGGCAACCAGAAGAAAATCGATGTTCTTTTTTGAGCTGCCGGCCGAGGAAAACTACAGCAAGCTTGCAACAGCAATCCAAAGAAGGACTTGTTTGATTGCTCGTCGTGCAGTTTTATCTGCGCAGGTCAGTTTCCAGCTGTTCCGTTTGGTCGTTGTTCACCATAGCTTTGTCCTTGCCCGCCAGACAGAACCTTCAAGGCACAATAGGTTCGGTCAAGCTGACTGGCAGTCTATGGTCCATCTGGGAGGGACATGAGGGGGACAAGCTGTATATTTCCCGTGTATTTCTTGGGGGAACAAGTAGTTTGGACCAAACCTCACATGTCAAATGACATGAGATGAGATGACCATGGCTTGCTATATTGCATGGTCTTTCTTAAGCGCTTTGGCTGCTCGTGGCAGGTCAGTGCCCTGCACTAACATGGCACCTGACTTTTTAAGGAAATTGTATTCCAGGACTCCCACTCAGGTTCCATGGTGGATGAGAGGGTATTTGGGCTGTCCTTCAAAGCTATGTTGTTGGTGTTGTTGTTTTTTTTGGGGGGCAGGGGGGGGGGGTAGACTAACTATTGAACAGACTCCAACAACCTCATTTTCTTTGTGTGTGCCACATGTGTGCCGAGATACCCTCCCACAAACCGGACCCGGTCCCTTTAAAAGGAAAATGGTCTTCCACCAGGACCCCCCGAACGTCAGGTCCCGAGTGAAAAGGTTCGGATGCTAACTGGTGTGATCCTTCCCATTGGTTGTGACCTACTTAGCCTGAACAAGCATTGCATTTGAATTTCAGTTTGTTGCTGGAGAGGGTCATGATGTTGTTTTCATTTTCTTGCTGCTGCAAAATCGGCAGGGAGTTTCGAAATGGAATGAACCCCAGGCTTTGGTCCCTTAAAGGAAGCCACCAGTTGGATGGTTGATTAGGGTCATTCCATTTCGAAACTCCCTGCTGAGAAAAAAGGGCCGAGCGCAAGTTGGTTGAAGCCACCGGAAGTCGAGTCCCGAGTCGTCGCGTCGCTCGCATTCAGCTCGGCTCAAACGGCTCTGGCGCGCACTTGTGCCACTCCGCTGGCTGGGGCCTCGGGCCATCCTGAGTCGGAAGTCCAAGATCTTGGTCTGTGAACTTGCCTCCTGAGTTCCTAGATTTTTTCAGGTTTTTAGGAAGACCATCTACGTTAGTGGAATTAACTCATGAGAAGCCATCTACTTTCATCCTCAGTCGGCCCTTATCACTGCCCGCTTTAGAAGACCATTTTAGTGGAAGAGAAGAAATAACATGGACTTGTCTGACCAATCCACTCAGGAAGTGAGTCGAAGGACCCTGGCAATTGCGCTTGTCTTGCGCTTTCCCTAACCAACCTTTACTTTTTGCGTTCGGGTCAAAGGAGCACGCAGCACGTCAACTTGTGTCTGATCTGGCATGGACTCCCAGGCTTGCCAAACCTGGGGCCCTCGCCGCTTTTTTTGGGGGGGCTCGGGCTCAAAGCAGGCTTTGACTTGGGCGGGCCATAGAAGCGAGCACAAGGGGTTCTCAAAATAGGGGCATGTGTCCTTTTCTTTTTTTTGGAAGCCCACCCGAAAAGGCGCCCGAGCTCCATTTTGAGAACCACCCCCCAAATCGGATTGCACGAAAATCGATGGCCGACGAAGTTGAGGCATGCGCAGCTGAACCAGTGCGGAAGCTCAATGGAAGCCGACCTGAGCCTGCCTTTGGGTCCAGGAAAGGGTCTTCCAAATGGCGTTAAAGGCTTTACTCGCTGGTTCGATAGGGGAACGAGAACTGGAATCACCCCGAGAAAACCATTCAGGAGTGGGTTTCTTTCAAGGAAATCCCCTTCTGGCTCATTCCCAACACCCGGACTCGGTCATTCCCTACTGAGCACCAGCAAGTGCAAGCTGGTTCTCTTTAAACAGCGTAGGTTCCAGTGGTAAAGCTGACAAAGCAGTACTTCAAAGCGAAGCGACCTGACACTAGGATTGCTCTCTCTATGGTGCCCGGCAAACCGGAACCTTCTCTTGAAAGGAAAGTTAGAAGGAGCAACAGACTACTTGGATGGGGTCGTTAACATTAAACAAGTCGTTTGGTTGACATCTACCAGACGTGCGTGCGGCAGTCCCGCGAGTGGCACAGCGATTCTGTCGCCAGCGGTTGCTTTCCACAATCCCCCCACCTGATTTTGTTGCCAACCGTTCGGCTTATTCTTCCCAAAAAACCGTTGTTTTGGAAAACAACTGTTCTTTTGGTTGTTCTTCCCCCCAAAACTGCTCTTTTGGTTTTTCATCCCAAGTTGTTTGGGGGATGCCTCAAGTACAACTTCTCCCCGAAACGCTCCGCACCGAACTCACCGGTCACCGCAGGTTTTGCGGCCAGCGCAATGTTCGGCTGCTGCTCCTGCGCGGGCGATGAGCGCCGCCGGCGCAGTTTCTGGTTTTTCCAGGGGCATAGGTGTCCTTTGTTGGTTGGTTTGCTTAAAAGAATATGTTGGGTGATTCCTAGTTTACCTGGTGGTTCAATAATTTACCAGGGCTATCTATTTCCCAAACAAGGACACCTGTGACCAGGGGTCTCTGGCAAAGTTATTCTTGGTGTGCCAGACTCGAACAAAACTCTTAAACAGCTATTTTAGGTCAAATTCTCTCTCTGAACATATACAGCAGAATCTGAAGATATTGATTTCTGTGGCGAACCCCAGATTTGCGAACCTCAAGCCCATGGCCACACCATGTTTATGTGTTTTGTTTGCCGAAAAATCGGTTTGCCCTGGGCCAATTGGCTTTACCCTTGAGTCTCAGCAACCCTGTTACTTTCTCCACGCTAGGAGGCTTTTGTTCGTTGGTTTCCGGTTTTGTATGACCCAGGCCCATGGGATGACCCGTTTCTCCGTATTCATTGTTGCACTCTTCTCGGTTCTCACTTCAATGATACTTTTTGTTACATGCATGGGACTGGGCCATGCAAATAGCCCTTCCTTTGCGTTTGCCCGTCGACCAGATGTGGCGCTTTCATTCAGATTTGCCAAGCATGTTTCATCACGGCACAGGGCGACCCTATGTGATGGTGCCTCTTGGACAACTTTTTTTGGCGTAGCGTGCATCCGTTTGGGTATGGTGAGCAAGAGACATTAGTCCACAAGTTGCAAGGACAATCACTATGCATAGTAGCTGCAGCTTCAGGTATTTTGTGCTGGATGATTATGTTATGTGTACTGTAATCCTCAGCCTCCCAATTTCAAGCAGAGCGAACCTGTCACAAAATCTGTCCAAGCCTGATTGGTTGCTGGACGTTAGCTGGATGTGTCCTTGCACAGAGTCCGCTGAAAGATCCTTCTAGTGCAATGTCCCTGGAGTGTATGCGACTGGGGTCACCCTTAGCCGGTTGGTTAGGGATGGGCAGCCAACCCATGGAGGTTTCGGCTCTTGAGCTCAAAATCAGGCGTGGAACTAAGACATTTGACTCATAGGTTGGAGCACGGGATTGCTCGTTTTCTTGCATGAGTCAGTCAGGTAAATAGCGAAGGAAAGTCTTGAGCTCAACCCTTTCCGTCTTGGTAGGTGTTGCTGGTTCACTGGTTGTCTTAGAGTGCGGATATGCGAGGATATTGTCACTAAATGCTGAAACCCCCAAATGGGTTGTTTCTCTTTGGTGTCCCTTCTCAACAACTCCACCACGGGCACCCTCCCAAAAATACGATTCCACGTTGGACACAGGATTCCATGCTGGTAGGCCGATGAAACCGGGTTTCATGGCCGTTGTGTTCCGAACAAGGCCCAACTAGCATACTGGTCGCGGTTTGCAAAGGACGTGAACAGAATGGGGGGTCACTCCTGAGGTCCTAAGGAGTTTAGAACTCTGTGTCAGCAAGCATCTTTATGCAATTGCTCAAGCTTAGGGCGTACGACTTGTCAGAACCTCGCCGCAGTGAAGATGGATAGAGGGACGTAGCGTACCTTATTGTGATTCAGGAGTCAGATATGGATTCATGTGGATTGCACTCCTACTCCTGCCAGGTCACGAATCTGTTCAGGCGATGCTATCGAGGTGGGACTGAGCTGCAGTGGCTGAGCATTCTCGTTTTAACGAAAGGGTAAAGCCCCCCTGTGTGGCTTGTGGGGGTTGGGTTGTACGTCTTGTTCCCAAGTAAACTCGAAATTGCAGCAGACAAACATGTTCGAGGGGCGTACTTAATTTCACCAATGCTAGGGCTCATTTCTACAGTCGCAGATTCTGTTTAAGAGGAAGCAAATGTCTATATGAGTGAACCCCACTACTAAAACCGGCACCTCAGGACCTCTTTTCCCGGTTTTCTTATGTGGCCCACAAGACTTGCGGGGCTGGGCTTCTGGCAAGTCCGAGCCGCTCGCCGCTCGCAGGAGCCCATTGACGACAGCTTTCCGAAGGCGCTGGTGAATGCTCTGAGCCTCGAAAGGATGATGCAATAGGAAACCGCAAGGGTAGACAAATGGTTTCTTGGTGGCTCCCAGCCATCCGGTTCCTTAGCCTTTTAGCTTTCGAGTGTTTAGTGGCAGTTTCCGAATTTAACCCACTAAAAGCGGGGGGAAACAAAAAGACATTAGCGGGAGATCTGACACCAGCCCAGGTTTGCCGTCCTTATATGTTTCCTCCGATGCCCCAAAGGTCCACACCCTTCAGGGTCTGTAGAGCTCTGGCGACTGTTCTTTGTTTCTTCTTGATGTTTACTTGCCTTGCGCCGAGTTCTTGTTATGTTCTGAATTCAGGTGCCGGTTCTTGTGCGTGTTTCCGGATTTTGCGGAAACACTTTCTTTGAGATGGCTGGACGCCCTTTCCCCATCCTAGGTGTCGATGGGTAGAAACCCTCCCAAACCCCCACATAAGCGCAGCGCAGCTGACAATGGGGATGAATCTGAGAAATATGGCTGTGTCTCAAAAACCCGGTAGCCAAACTGGAACCCTGGTAAGTGGAAACATGGACCAAAACCTGCGTAACCCCACCTGTCCAATTTTGAGTCACACCTACACGGGTCTCTCCAAATCAAGGGCCATTCCTAAATTTGGATCTTCCACATTGTGACATTCCAAAGGATTAGGTGGCCATCAAGGTCCCTTCAAAGAAAGGTGGCTATGGGATTCAGGGCCCTGTGGCCCTTGTCAAGCCCTTCGTATATCAGGGCACACCTAGCATGTTCCAAGCAACAGGTTCCAGATTGGAGCACATGACGCGTGTGACACAACTTAGAAACCGTTTGTTAGGCTCAATTGGTGTAACCTCGCAAGGGCACGGGTCCCTTTGGTCTCTCGCCAAACAGCCAAAAACCAAAGTTGCCCCAAAGACATACCCTTCCCTGTTGCCCCATCACCTGTTGGAAAGGTGTTTGCTTTAATGAAAGGATGTGGGGCTCGTTTTTTGTTAGAACTCGGGCCCCTCCAAAATGGTGGTGTTCCTTTAGGTTTCACCTTATAATCACGAACAAAAAGGTACCCTAACAAAAGACACGCCCGTATTTGTTTAGGTTCAGGGAAGAGGCTGTGGTCATTGCACGAGCCAGCCGCCCCGTTCGCCAGGACAAGTCAAAGAGCTTTGCGCAGCGGCCGGCACGTTTTTGATTCGGAGAAATCGCTGAAGCCGTGCTTGGGATGGTGACTCAGCTACCACTGGACCAGGTGTTGAGATGTGGGTGTGGCTCAAAATTAAACAAGAGGGGTTACGCAGGTTTTGGTCCATGTTTCCATTTACCAGTGGAACCCTGGCAGGGTTCCATTTTGGTACCGTTTTTTTGAGCCACAGCCATGTGTTTAGTGTAGGGGTTAAGTACACGGCTCCCCATCTTGGAGTTTGTTTTGCTGGGGGAGATCCCGAATTGTCTGTGGGATGAGGTTCAACGTTTTGGGACTCCTTTGGGAAGCAAGCCCTGAATCATGTAACTTTTTCCAAGAGAGGATGTTTTCCTGATGGTATCCATTGACCACTTTACCCTCCCACGAACATGGCACCTGACAGGGGCTCTCTCCAAGAAGAGACTGATCTTCCAGGTACCCTCCCTCAGGTGCCGGGTCCCTCCCAGAGGAAACTCATCTTCCAGCTACCCTCGTGCCATATCAGTTCAAGGAGGGGAAGGGGCTCCCTCCAAGAAGAGACTGATCTTCCAGGTACCCTACCTCAGGTACCCTCCCTCAGGTACCCTCCCTCAGGTACCCTCCCTCAGGTACCCTCCCTCAGGTACCCTCCCTCAGGTACCCTCCCTCAGGTACCCTCCCTCAGGTACCCTCCCTCAGGTACCCTCCCTCAGGTACCCTCCCTCAGGTGCCAGTGGGAGGAGGGGAAGGTCCAAAGGAAAACCCAGTGACCCCCACTGCCAGGTCCACCTCGCGGGCTCCGGTCAACGCAGCAGAGGTGCCCCGAATGGATGGCATCGGATGACTGGCTTCCAATGCCTTTTTTGAGGGTCTCCCAGGGTTCAAGGCGAATCCACGAAAAAAGCCACGTTTTTTGTGGGGAGAGTTTGCCTCCAAAAAGATGACACATGGATGGGAGGGCTTCAAATAGTTAGGTTTTTCGTTGGGCGTCCCATGTCTTGTCCCGGATTGACTTTGAACACCCCAGAAAATGGAGCCACTCCCAATATGGCTTTGGCTTAAACTGCACGGGGCTGCTACCTAGGCGATTGTTGTCTGCAAGTAACCTGATGAACCGTCCATTTTGGAGCTGAGGCCAGTGACTTTTTCAGGGAGCGATAAAGGCAACGAAGGCATAGAGCTCAAGGGGCCTGGTGGAAGAGAAACAGTTCTTGAGGGGTCCTGGATTGTCGACCTACACACCTACAAATACATACATGACCAACGCTCAATATCTACCATCATTTACTGTACGGGGGATGACATTGGGCACACTCACCAAATTCCCCCTGTATACATGGGTCACCAAAGTCCCATGTCATTGGTGGGGCACAATAAATGTTGACCGTGGGCATACACAGGTGTTGTTCAAAATTAGGACCCCATCCAGGTAGCCGGTTTCCTTTCGGTTCCCCCTTAAAACCGTCCCAAATTGGGAACTCTTTGAGAAACACCCACATACATAGGTGTCCGTTTTGGTTGTTTTGGTAGAAAAATAGATGGCCCTGGTTTACCTGGTGGTTTAATCATCTACCAGGGCCATCTACTTCCCCTAAAAGGACACCTATGCCCACATACCATGAATAGCCGTGCTTGTTTTTAGGGTTCTTTGCGCCGAGGACGACAAGGAGACGGCGAAGCATCGGCTGCAGGCCCGAAGTCAGGGCCGCTTTTGGGGGCCAGTCCAAAACGTGTGTTTCTTTGCTCGACTGGGGCAACTATGAACAGCTCCTCCAAAACGGGTTGTGTGTGGGTTTTGTTTTGGTTGGGGTGGATATTTGAGGAGAATCTGAAAGTGTGATTTTCTGTGAGCCGTGGAGCAAGGGAAGCACAGCGGCAGCATGAAAGTTGGACAAACCTCGCAGGAAGCCACTAGGAGCAGAGCCTAGACAGGGGTCCACGAGACCAAGCCGAATTGTCACGTGGAACTAAGGGCGTCCTCAACGAGATGTCGCTAAGAATGAGGGTGTTTGAGGTTGTTTTGGGTTTCATGATGATTCATAGGCTGGGCCTACTTGAGATTGAGCAGCTCATCATATTCCACGTCGCAATCACACACGGGTTCCCAATTGAGCTCAAACCCAGAAGTTGCAGGCTGAAACCAAATGGTCTTCACCACAGCCGGTCTTTCCCTCACCATGTTCCCACAGTTGGTGCTCAAAGCATTCCGCGGTTTCGCCCAAGCCAGAGTGTGCCAGGTTTTACAGGGGTTTCTCTTGGGGGCACGGGACCAAACCGTGCGCTCTTCTTTGGCCAAAGGGGCCTTTGGTTCCGCAGTGCCCAGTTACCCATGCAAAGGCTGTGATTTGTGCGCTTTGGGACCCTCAAAAGTGCTTGGTAGACAAGAGATTCCAAATGTTGTCCACCAAAGCGTCCCTTAATAAGCTTCACAATGCAAAAAAACATCCTGGTTGCCTACCTAGGTCCCCCAGTAGTGCCCTTTTACCTTTTTTTTTTCCGGGAGGGTTCCCCTACTAAAAATAGACTGCAGAACAAAGTTGGTACCCTTATTCTAACATCTCTACTGAAAAAACCTAGCCAAAATGGCTCACTGAATCCCCACCGAGTTTTGAGCCCCACCTGCTCCCCAATCGAAATTCACCATGCAACAAAAAAAAAGCCTGGTGACCTACTGGCATCTTTCGGAGTGCCCACAGCCACCGCCAGCGCCTGATCCGGGACTTCGCCCATGACGCCGTGGGCCCGGGCCTCCCTGTGGAGGCCGGGCGGATCTGGAGCGCTCGAGCTCGGAATCAAGTCATGACCCCGGATGGATCAACGCAGCCCATCTATCGGGGGGTGTCCCCCTCCAAAAGCGGTGGAATTCCCCTTTAAATAAGGGACGCCGGCTGTTAATCAACCAGAATTTGAGAAATCCGAAGTTCCCATTGCCCCTGATTCAAGCCCGATATCTGCATGTGAGTTTGTTTTTGAGGATCGGTATCCTTTTGGGAAGCCAAAAGGCAAGCCGAAATCCATTTTTGGGGTCCCCCGATTTAACATACAAATATGGGAACATCAGTGGTTGGTGAACATGAGCCCCCACACGAACGATGTCCTGCCCTGCCAGATCAACCTACCTTCTTAACATGTCTCCCTTTGTCTTTTCAGCTTTCCATCATTTTCCCTTTCAAATCACCAGATATGTGGCTTTGGGTCAAAACCCTGTACCCCTGGTGAACATCAAAATAGGTGGTACGGGTGTTCATCCGCCCCACAGTGGAGGCATAGGTTATGTCCCATGGCCATGTCTCACTTGTTGCGAGAGGCCAGCCACCCATTTGCCCCAGTCACACGTTTCCCCATCGAGAACACGCCAGGTGCAGAGTGCGGACGCCGAGGGTGAGGAGGCTTCCAAGAGTAGCAAACCCACCGGGTGTGTACGTGGGTCCATGTGAGCTTGCTCAAAACCCGGGGATCGATGAAGGTTAGTAAGGGACAAGCGCAACCATAAAATAGCTGCGGATATCCGCCTTCCTAGTTCTTCACATGGTTCTGGGTAGACCATTTTACTACCGGGTTTTGACTATGACTCACGTGGGGAATAGAATGTTGACCCCGGATTCATCAACCAACCTGTTTATTAGTGGGGGGGGTGCTTTTCCCTGGGTTTAGTGGGGATTTAGACCATTTGGAGGGGAACACCCCCATAGTAAACAGGGGTTTATTAATTTGGGGTCAACATTGTCCTAGCTTGTAGGGAGCCAAGGAGTACCCAGCTGGTGGTTGGGGGGGCATCTAGAATCTAAACTTGCCAAAGGGCGAGAAAAACAGCCACCAATCGGAGTTCTGCAAGGAAATTGTAGATATGCGGCAGAGTAGCCAGCACTTTGCCTCTGGTCATGACTTAATTTGCTTTTATAGTTGCCCCTTTCTTATGTATTTGAGCCCTTACAGTATGGCTCGTCAAACCTCGCGACTTGGCGTCAGTGGGAGTGGTTATCCATTGAAGTAGGGAATTCAAGTATCCATCAAAAGTAGGTCTATTCAAACTGACTGGTGTCGTTCTGGTGTTGACATCAATGCCCAAACGGGCACAAGTTGTTCGTGCCATGGTGAAAACTCCCTTTTGCTTTGGGTGCAATGGTCATGAGGGGCTTGAGACAGCCATGGTGACTAACCGGTTGAGGTTGAGGCAAGCTGGAAAGGGCACCGAGCCCCGAAAGACACACCAGGTGGCCAAGAGCCAACAATGGGTCCCAAACACCTTCTGTGGTGGACAATCCCCATACAAATTCCAACAAAGGGTCCGCGCCATAATTTTCACAGACACCAGTTGAGCAACCTTCCGACTCACATTGGAAAACTAAAGGGAACCAAACGAAACAAGTGAACGCCAAGTGACGCTGCGCACTCCTTGGCATTCTTGGAAGCGTTTACTTTTCTCAGCTGGTTTGTATGATAGCAAATGGTCATGACCGACAAATGTGTCTTATGCATAATTTGGTACCTTAAGACATTAAGCTTCGCAAATTCTAGCGACGTCACTAGGGTTGCCGCGTCACCCATAGTGCAGGTTCCTTGCATAATCCCTTATTTCCGTCGGCTGAAAAATATTTGCCCAAGGCAGGCTCGGTCCTTTGGGAGGATATCTCGAAGTTGATCATCAGTTTGGGCAAAGCATGGTCTCCTGTGCAGCAAGCTGTTGGTGGAGGCGGTAGTTCCAGACCGAACTCTGTTGCCCTAGAGAGAACCTTCGTCAAGGACCCTTGAATTTGCAAGGGGCCCTTTAGAAGGAAGCTGTGATAACTCTAGTTTATGCTTAAGACATGAGCAGAATGTCTCTTAGCGTATCGTTGGTTTGGGGAGGACATGGGTTTCACACCAAGATATCCGCACGTCATCATGAGAAAACCAGCAATTTCATCCGTGGCTACATGAATCAACCTGATATGGGTGTGTGTGTGTGGGCGTTTTTGGTTTGTGGGTGAAAAGGGAAACCAAAAGGAAAGCCGTTGCGCCATTTTGGGGCTCCGATTCCTGAATAAAAAAATGAAGAAGAAACAAAACGACGAGCCACCGGTATGTGCTGCCAGGGCGGCACGCTCCGACTTGATCGCAGGCTGAGCCAGGCGCGAAGCTTGTGGCGACAGCTGTCCCTTGAAAGGAGCATCTTATATCTGATACATGTCAAGATCCAAGAAACCAGCTGCCGGAAAGTTATTTGAACGGATATATGGCTGGCTTCCCGCAATTTATCCCGTACTCAGTTTCTATCAAGCCTTGAAGACTTTGGTCACTCTTGGGATGTTGAGCATGCTTCCATGTGCTGAAATGAACATGGTTATTTCTGGTTGGTTTTAAAGTTGGAATCTATCACTGCTGGACATATGTTCTCATTTTGTCCAGGGGGCAAACAAATCAAACGAAGCTTAACAATCAAGTTGACCCATGTTTTAAGAATGCCCAGAGTGTGAGGAAAACAATTGAGGGGTTCTCGAAGCGTTTGGCATCAGGTGGTGTCATGTTAAACCAAAAGGACCCAGCCAACGCTCCTTATATTTCTCCCCTTGAGCGAGAGGAGGGGTGTTGAACTGTTGAACATCACCTTTTGGATCAGCTCGAAGTCGGGTGACAATTCGGCGCGGTGATATTCACTAAGGACATACAATATAAAGATATGGGTACGGCTCAAAATCCAAGAGCTGGGGTTACGCACGTTTTGGTCTTTGGTTCCACTTACCAAGGGGCCATTTGGGTACATCTTTTCGAGTCACAGCCATGTATACATGAGGACTTTGTCATCGCACCGTCGCAGGAGCAGTGGGCAACTCGCAGAAAGTTGAGAGTTGAGCAGCGTCTTGTCGGGAGAGTTTGGTCCCCCAGTGGCAAAGCACAACATGTATGTGCGCCGTATCTTGTTTGGCAAAGCCGTTCTGTGACCTCTTGCTTTTGTGGAGGGATGCGGTCATCTCCAAAATGATCGGAGTCGGCACCACAGATGACGATGTGACTCTTTTTAGGGTACCCTTCTTGGGCTTACTTAAAAGAAGACCAAAGGAAATCCGCCATTTGTGGAATCTCTCCATGTTGTCGGAGGCTGTAGCCATTGAATGGCCCGTGAGTGGTAGTGGCAACAACACGTTTGGACTTCTTTGGGCCAAGTCCACCCAGCTGATCCGTTCGCATTGCCGGTTTTCGATCGATCTGCCTTCGCGCGCAGATCGAGTTTTGGCTCGGTGGAGGCGGGGGCTGCCGTCGAATGAAGGGCATGCTGAAATATCTAGATTGTAGCACTGAGATTGGAGAGTTGATCCTATTGTGATTTGGAGCGATGCACCCTCAACTGGTTGTTTGGATTTGCGGGTTGGACTCGGAGTTGAACCTCTGCTTTGTAGAGAACATGGACACCACCCCTCCAAAGAACCAACGGAAACCACCCAATCAGAGGGATTCCGGTTGAAGAGTTTGGACAGTAGTTCCCATAAATAGAGGGGGAGCCATCAACTTAAAGCCCCTTGGCGCTTGCAGCGCCCGCAGGGCTTCCAATATATATATATATATGGTCACCCCCCCCATAAACTACATTCAATGCTGGTTGAATCAGACACGAATGCCCCAAACGTACTTCATGGGGGGGGGGTGAGCATGTGTACATAAATACATACATATATATGTAGTATCTTTCCGGTGGGCTTAAACATCATCTGTGTGGCCCATAGGTGAGTTTCCCTTGGGCAGGGGTGATGTTACAAGAGAAATATAGTGAGCCCTGTCACCTTGGGGGAAAGCGAGCTCACACATGGTGGTGGGAAGTCCGTATTTCAGATGTGTGAACTATGGTCATTTGTCCAGGTCTTGGCATGTGCTAAACCGATGGTTGCCACGAACTTGTGAAGTTTAGTGTGTATTATATGTTTTATGTGTGTATGTAGAGAGAGAGAGAGAGAGAGAGAGAGAGAGAAGTTGTGGAGGCTGTGTGCCTTGCATTGCCTCCTGCAACTCAACAAGGGAAAAACAAGTTGGACAGAGGTTTGTGGGATAGAGGAACCACGCAGAACCGTCATGCAAGGATCTTCATTTTTCCCACAAAAGCAACTATCTAACAGATCGCCGCCGATCAAAAGGACAGCCACCATCTGCCCTTTTCCATCAATCATAGAAACTGACGTTTGGGCCCTTTTCAGGAAGACACGAGTCTTCCAACCCCTCCTGTCGATTTCCATTGGACAACCCAGCGAAGTTTGCTTCGTTCGGAAAGAAGGATTCGCAGGTTCAGCGGCGAGCATCGTCATGCCATTCAGCAAGGCCGGAGCTTTGCGACGAGGACCGGGGACTGTGTTTGTGTGCGTGTTTGTTGTGAGGTTACCCTTCTGGTCTTTGAGGGGCGCCACGGGTAAACGCCACCATTTTGTGGTATCCTATTTTCAGACTGACCTACTTTAGACTGGGTTGGTTGCAAATCTGTTGCCAGACCAAAGGTCCCCATAGTTGTAGTCACCCTTTGGCCCGTGAGTGAGTTGCTTTGAAGCTTCAAGACAATGTGTGGAGTCCGTTGTCAGTTGTGCCATGGATCGGATGAAGCAAGCTGGTCATGGAATTTCAAATGGCCAGTAACCTGGGCTCCTTGGATAGGGGTGCCATATGGCTTTCGTCGAAAGGCACATCATTTTGCGGGTTTTTGAACTTACATGGTGGCACCACTTGCAATCACAGACATAGCAGGGTCTTGAAAGACAGGAATTAGTAGTCTATCGTCAGCTTGGGAACTCAGATGTTGCACAACATGTCAAGGGTATTCCGGGTATGTCCAACTAATCGTCCAACGTTCCTTGGTAGCTTTCGAATTATGGCTATACAGGGAACAACCATGGCCCATGGCCGCACACAATCCCCCGATGGAAGGATCCCCATGTTTCCAGAAGGGCAAACAAGTTGGCAGGGTATCCTTTGGTTTCCCAATGTTTGCCGATCCAAGTGTCTACCATTTGTTTTTTTTCTTCTTGATTTTCGAGCTTCGCATGTTTGTTTCAAGTCCAACGGATTTGTCCCCTGGTGTTTTTGCTTTAACAAAAACAATAAAGTAAAACCCAATGCTAAAAGAGAACAGAGAGAGAGAGAGAGAAGAAACAAAAAAAACATCAATGCAAGTGTGTGTTTTTTAGTAAAACACATGCATCTCATGCCACACACACACACACACAACCGACAGCGACGGCGAAAAAAACAGCGCCGTCTCAGGTGGAGTCCATTTCCAAAGGCGCCGAGGGCACCGATGAGAAGGAGTCGGACCCCAGGACCGGGAGACGGTTGAGGCGCTTCCAGGTGGTTGGCGTGTTTGTTTTTTTCCCCGCAAGCGGCTGGGTTTAAAATTGAACTGGATACCAGGGTTCCATTTTGGCTACTATTTCTGAGTATTTCTTGGTGGTTCCTTGATCCCTTGCTGAGAATACGTACTACGTATTTTTGGCAAGGGATCAAGAAACCACCAAGAAATACTAAGAAAAGGTGATCCTCCCTGTCAGTTTGAGGTGACCCCGAAATGGCGGATGGGTTTTTGAGCCATGGGTGGCTGGCTGGTGTCAATTTTGTTGCCCAACAGCTGAAAGCTAAGTGGTCGACAGGCCCAGCTAGGCAATAAGGGATGGTCTGGGACAGCTAGGGAGGGGTCCGGAGAGTTCCAGAGCGTTCTGGGGGCTGTTGGAGACACCGCCTGGGCTTATTTTGTAAACCCATTCATCTAAAAACGGGGCCCATGGTTGAGCCGGTATGGGTGTGTGTCTTTTTGGTAGGTATCGGACCCCCGCCAAAATGGCACAACGACTTTCCTTTTGGTTCCCTTGAACACCACCTGTTCGGTGGGGTACCAACTTCAAAAGAAAGACATACCCATTTGCCTGGACATCTTCGAACCCCTACTGGACAAGCTCCACATAGATCAGCACCAGTTTTGGATGAAACCATGAAACCCCATACTAGAACAAACCTACCAGCTGAGGCAGAAGTTTGTCCATCCACTGTGTGAACCCCTGGGATGAACCGCTTTGTTGGCTGATAAACCAGTACACCGAGGTGCAAATAGATGGCATAAATTCCTGTATTTGGGTAAGAGGGATGACTAAGCTGTGGGGGGGATTGCACCCGCGTTCCCCTAACTAGGATCAATAAAGGAGGGGGGTAGGTTAAAGGGAGGAACCGTTGCACCCCTCCATCAATCCGCGAGCTTAGATGCATGGCTTCCTCATCGAACTCCCACTGAAACTATTCCCAAAAGGAAGATTCCAGACTCTCCCGCGTGGTGCTTAAGTGGTTCGTGGTTGGGTCTATTTGCAACACCTTTGTGAACGTTTGTGTGTGTGTTTGTGGCGTGTGCGCATGTGCGAGTGGCTGTGTGTTTGTGTCGATTGATGCAGCAGAGGGCCTTTCACCGCGCGTGAGGATGGCTTCAGCGCTGAAAATGGTGTGGAAGGCTGGCGCTGAACTCAGGCGCGCTGGAAAGGGACTTCGGTGGAGGTGAAAGGGAGACCCAAAGACCCAAAAGGGGACCCAATCTTTGTTGCGTTTTGGGAGTACCCTTCTCAGGTTGGTTAGGGCGACCCAAGGCCTACATCCACAGCCCAAAATCACAGCAAACCTGAAGGGACACTCTGCAAGATCCGCAAACAAGGGAAATCCGGGCTTGTTTCTTTGCGCACCCCCAGAATCCCCAAACAAAGACTGCTGCGAAATAAGCCATATTTATTCAATGCATTTTTCCAGGAAGCCAACATTCAGCGGGGGCTGAGTGTTTTTTGTTTGTTTTTTGTTGTTTTTCCCAGCCCCCCCTATTCAACGCCCAGGCAAGCCAGGCTCTTGTTTTTCTCGCAAAAAAGCTGGGCCTCAGCTGTTCAGACATTCGCTGGCCAATCGCCACTTTGGATCCGAATCGATCTTAAGGAGCTACGACGCACAGGATCATATCAGGACTCGTTGGTTTTAACGTAGCCACATTCTCTCTTTTTTGGAGCCTCAAACAGAATTCGGGTGTTTCACTGAGCTTCCTAAAGCTTTTGTGATGTGGCAGACGGAAGGCCCGCTCAGCTTGTGAGGTTTGACTTCAATTTTTGTGGGGCGCGTGTCCAACCCAGCATGGTGAATGTCTTGTGGAATACGTGTGAAGTGCCCATTGCCCTAGGGCTCCCACAACCAGTCCCTGCCCACCTTATCGAAACCAAAAGGGTGTTTAAACGATTGTTTACTGCAGTACTCATAACTCGATGTTTTTTAAGCTTGCCTACACTCCATTCCAATGATTTAGACCTTTATTGAACATGTTTTAACCGGGCGGATGTGCGGATAACACGTGCGTCAGGGTGACCTTCGATTCGGTGATGGCCAGAGACAGGGCCTACACCTGCTTGAGGACGGGTTTGGCGTTTTGACGTGCACACCCGGTGGTCCCTTTTTTACCCCTTGCCTCTTTTTAAGCATCCGGCGGTGGCCGAAGACAGACAGGCCGGTTTTTAACACTTCACCTTGGCTGCCCGAGTGAAATAACCAATTATGAGCTATTTAGGCATCCTTGGTAGTTTTAAACATCACCTTCTCGGCCAATTTTCAAGCGTGTTGCCTTTTGGTGCGGTGATAATCAAAGGCGAATTGTTTGGGAGCAGTGAAAGTCCGCAAAATGGTGGCACGCATTTTGGTGTGAGGGTCTACACGCGTTCAAAGCTCAATACTTCCAAGTCGGTCCTAAAACTCTAGGGGTAACTGACCCGTTCTTTTCCGGGGCTCCTTCTTCTCAGAAGTCACCCAGAATCCTGGGAATGGGCTGGTTTGGAAATGAAGGATAGGTGGGGCTACAACAATCGAAAACATGAAGCTTGTGGGAGGATCTGCAACCTTCAACAACTCAACGCTTTCCTTTGAACAACGCAACATGTTTGTGAGGTTCTGCAACCCGTTGCAACAGGTTTGGATGGGAGATTCTGCGTTGAAATCCCAAGTCGTTTGCTCGGGAGTTCTATGACCTTCCAGAACGGAATGCTTTCTAGTTGGGTAAGTGCGTCGCTCCTGAACGCTGGCAAAACCATCGCTTCAGAACGCTGAAACAAAATCGCTTCGGAACGCCGGAAAACGTACTAATCGCTTCGGAACGCTGGAAGTGCAGCCACGTGCCACGCGCAGCACCGAGACACCGGCGAGTGCTTCGCTCTTGAACGCTGGGACAAGAATCGGCACCCATGCGTCCACGCGCCCACCTGCCCACAGGCCCACGCACTGCTAGCTGACGGATTTTTTCTGATAGCCTCGAAAAACCCTAAGACCTAAACCCTTTATTAACGTACTAGAACATTAACAGCACCTGCCACCGGAGTCTGGATCAAGTGATTTGGGTTTCGGTTGTAGCGCCCCACTTTTTCGTGAAGTAGTTTGGGCTGTGTCAGGTTTATTGTTTCAGGTTCATTTGATTACAGAGCTTCAGCGGGTGTGCTTATCATGCCCCCCCCCCCACACCACCCCCCACCCCCAGAACCAGATGAATTTGCACATCTGGTTACAGAGCAGGCTGGGCTGGTTCACTTCAGCGGGTGTGCTTATCATCCCCACCCACCCACCCACCCAGAACAAATTGATTGGATTTTGCACACCCTTGCTGGTGAAGCAGTTCAGCGGGTGTGCTTATCATGCCCCCCCCCCCACCCCACCCCCCACCCCCAGAACCAGATGAATTTGCACATTTGGTTACAGAGCAGGCTGGGCTGGTTCACTTCAGCGGGTGTGCTTATCATCACCCACCCACCCACCCAGAACAAATTGATTGGATTTTGCACACCCTTGCTGGTGAAGCAGTTCAGCGGGTGTGCTTATCATGCCCCCCCCCCACCCCACCCCCCACCCCCAGAACCAGATGAATTTGCACATTTGGGTATAGAGCTTCAGCGGGTGTGCTTATCATGCCCCCCCCCCCACCCCACCCCCCACCCCCAGAACCAGATGAATTTGCACATTTGGGTATAGAGCTTCAGCGGGTGTGCTTATCATGCCCCCCCCCCACCCCACCCCCCACCCCCAGAACCAGATGAATTTGCACATTTGGGTGTAGAGCTTCAGCGGGTGTGCTTATCACCCCCCCCCCAGAACCACTAGATTTTGCACACCTGGGCTGGGACGCCTGCCTGCGTACGGAAGTGATCCTGGGCTGGGACGCCTGCGTTCGGAAGTGATCTTTTTGACTGACCGGGTTTTGCAACCCTTTCTGCGTTCCGGGTGCTCAGTGTTTTGAAGTGATTTTTTTTAGTGTTCGGAAGTGATCGAAGGTGGCAGCGTTCACAAGTGATTTTTTTTAGCGTTCTGAAGTGATTGTCTACCTCTAGTTGGAGGTCCTGCAGCCTTTGAAAGCCCAAAAACATTTGGGGGGGAGGTTCTACAACCTTGTAAAACCTATTTGGTGGTGGAATTTCTACTAACTTCGAAAGCACAGGACTTTCTTGCGGGAGGTTCTACAACCTTCAAGAGACTCAATCCTTTTTTCAGTGGCACGTGCTGCAAGCTTAGCCTTTGAACACCCAACACCTTTTGGTGGGAGGTTTTGCAAGCGCTGATGAAGACGTAAATGTTGACTTTTTGGAGATGGAGCTACCAGAATGTACTTTGCGTAATACTTGCATTTGCTTAAGCATAGTTTGCTACTTTCCCCTCTTGGTTTCAAAGGAATCTATCAGAACTGGACATAGGTTTATTTTGTCCAAGGGACTTAAGCAAATGGAAGATTAGACTTGGACTAAAGGCTTGCGACTTTGCGAGCCGGAGCTGCCCATACTTTGCTTACTACATGGGTCCGAAGTTGGAAACACCGAGAGGGCGCAAAACATCAGAAGCCCTGGAACAAGTTCAATTGGGGCATCCAAGCTTCCACGCTCAGGCTGACTCAGGGCTCGCATGGCGGAACAAGAAGAGCAATAGCCTTGAAGGTGTTCCAAACAAGGCGTCCTCATTGCTGGGGCGGCAATGCGGGATGTGGGGGTTGTTCAATATCCTTGTTGCAAAATGATCATGGTCAACTTGTTGTTTTATTTAGTGGGACATCTCAAATCGTTGTTGTTCCCCCTTTTTGTTCCTCTTTTTTCCCCTTTTTGTTTTTTCTTCTCGGTGGTTTCCCTAATGGTCGTCGCATAGGGACCTATTGATCAACCCCCATGTACGCGAAGGGGATTGACATAGTGAACCTCTGCGCTCCTAAAGGCACTCCGCATGTTTAGCGAGACTCGCGCATGTTGCGGGCGGGGGGGTTATGATGGGTTATGCCGTTTGCGAGGCATGCCATGCGAAACACCCCTCTTCTGGTTTCTGGTTTTCTCTTTTTGTTGTGCGATAAGGCTTTTCAAGTTTTCTTGTTAGTTCGATGGGCAGGTGGAAGCCATCTTAGATCAGCCACTGTGAAAGGATCGGACAGGTGAGGTTTTGAGGGCACCGGGCTAGACCCCCAAACATGGGCATGGGTCATTTTTTGAAGCCACCAGGAAAGAGGGGCCGCGGGTTTTGGGTTGTGGACGTTTCCATTAGGGCAACCCCAACGTTGGGGTGACCAATTTTGAATTCTTGACCCACAGCAAAATTTGAGCATGCTCCGAATCACTGGGGAGGGGAGCCCATGGGGCGACATGCCAAACACTTCGGGGCTGCCAGGATATTCCACATGTCCATGGAGCAAGTGGGCCGGGGCGCAGAGCCCAAAGCCCCCGCGTGAGAGAGTAGGAGAGGTCCGGAGAAGTTCATTTGGCTTGCGTGTGCGTTTTTTGTTTCAAGGTCGCCTTTTCGGGCTTTGGTTCCAGGGAAGCCAAGGGGAAGCTACCCATGTTGCGTTGAAGCCGACCTTCTTGACAAAAGAAGGGGTGGGTCTTCCGTCGAAAATTGTTGCATTCGCGGAGACCTGCCACATCTATGCCAAAGGACAGCCCCGGACGAGCGCAAAATTTGGCAACGAAAGCGAGGCGGTTGGCTGCGGCAAAGCCGGGGCCAGTGCTTGGGCGGCCACGTACTTTTTGTGACTTGTTTTGGGGACGGAGGTTCGGACTTGGAGTTTGGCTGAAAACTGTTTGGGCAGATCCACCTGCAGGAATCTACCACTTCAATCACTCCTGTAGCATTTTCATGTGTGAGTTGCTCACTCTAGCACGTAGTCGTAGCTTAGCTTCGACTATTGCAACTCAGCCAATCCTGTTGCATCAGGGAGTGCATCCTAGCGACTGCGCAACGATGTCAAGGCTGCAACCACGCATTCATGCTTGAGTCATGGAGCGACATTTGCCAGTGAGCTACTGTCTCCACATGAAGGGTGAAGCCCAAATTCCAGTCGTGTGTGGTTCGGTTCCAAAATTTGGTCGAGGAATCCTTGTGACCCTTTGACGTATTGGTTCCGGATCTTTGGACTTTTTCTGCTTGGTTGAAGCAGTGGATTGTCCATTGGACCCACAAAAAGTAAAAGTTCTTTCAGAGTAGGCGGTTCCCGAAAATGCAGGATCCCTAAGCAGGGACAGCCCAAGTTAGTCGAGGGCTTTGATTAATTCAGGGTTCCCATGAACCGATTGCCGATCCCAACACGAGTCTGTCGCAAGAGAGGCCAAGGCAGGTTCCCGACGGCGTGTCGATAGTGGCCGGAGCAGGGTTGCTTGGTGCTCCTGGAGTCATGTGCGTTTCGAGATTCAACACCAGAGTGATGAGAAATGAGGCTTCGGCTGCCAGTTTCAGGATGACTCCAAGGCATTTACATGAAGGGTGATAGCATAGTGATACGGCCATAGGGGATGAACCATCGGTTCGGCACTGTAAGTAGGCCCTGTTTGTCTCACCTTCTGCTTTTGCAGAAGCCGCCTTTCGCAGTAGAAATGACGCGCTGGCGGCAAGTAGCTCACGTTCGCATCTTGAAATCTGGAGGAAGTCGACCTCAAGTCTCTTCCTTGGCATGGAGGCACACATACTCGGAACATGTTGTAGGTATGCCAAACGTGGCAATCAAAGGGGGCAAAAGGACCCTGGTAGGTGCCTTTGAGTCGTGCCGCAATGCGCGTTTATTTTGAGCTCAGCGTGCACAGGCGGTTAACCTCATTGGTATCTCCTGGGACGGAGCTGATTTGATTGCTAGTTGGAGTGTCAAAGAGGACAGTTCCAACTAGAGATAGGTACTAACGCCCGTTTTATTTTTGATGGTTTGGGAGACTTTTCGTGCCAGTTCTTGATGAAGTCATGAGGGATCTCATGAAACATCAGAAAGGGTGACGCGGGCAGGGCCACTTCACGGGGGAAACGACCAGCACGTGCTAATTCTGACCAATCCTGTGAGTACCAACCAGATCAGGAGTTGGGAAGAAATGCTGTGTGACATGTCCAATTTATTGCTGTTGAGGCGCTATGGGCATGAACCGTCACACCCCATGCCGCTCAGGAACTTGACAGCGGCCCCCCACTAGGAGGAACATGGTTTGGGTTCTGTCCCCTGCAGCCACTGACAAGCCCCCAATTCTATCGGCAGACCATTTGGCGGTGGTTAGGCTAAATGTGCATCGCACCTGTCAATGTTCTGGTTTGAAACCCAAGGCATGGTCTTCAAATTATTGGGCGTGGTTGAAAGAACATCATTACTACAAGGATCCCAATTTATCATATCCTCCAACTACAATAGCGAAATGATGACCACCTTCAAAAAATGTGGTGACAACTGATGGTTAGGGGCATGGTTTGAAGGTAAAGCAGCTGCCTATTTGTTGGTGCCAAACGGGCACTTACCTCCGGGGACCATGCCATGTATCGGTACCCGCGTGCCATGTGAGCAGTTCGATTGGCCTAAATCGTATTGAACAAGGGGAAAAGATGGAGTGAGGTCACCAGTGAATTCGCATGAATGATGAATGCCGCAAAAAAGGGTTGTCCCTAGGGTTTCCGTGGCTTTCCCTCAGCCCAAAAGTTAAAGCTTGGTCTGTGGAAGTCTGGCCATGCTCAACATCCGCTGCCATTACAAATCCAGAGATGAGCCGGCCGGGCAAGAGGCGCGGTTCGAGTCGCCGGGCTGGTCGGTTCAGCAAGGGTGTGCCAATGAGAAGCTATGTCCCCCAGCCAACCCCAGAATTAAGGACCGCAGCCAGTAGAATGGCATCACTTAGTCTCAGGCTTGCTTTGGTTCAGGGCCTTGGAAGCCAACCATGAGTTTCCAAGGTCAGAGACAATGGCAACCCTCTTCTCGAGACAACCTTCTGGGAAGGTAGGTCCTTTTTGGCTGTGCCGAAAAGCGAAGCCAAGGGATGCTTGGGTTCCGTTTAGATTCGAGAGCATTGGTGTGGGAGATTTTCGAGCGGTATCCTGTTGCTCTTCAAGGACCCTTCAGTTCTGGCCATTAATCAGGGAACATGTTTGATCCAAATGGGAAATCGACCCTTGAAAGCGGGTATGTGCCAAAATGGGGGGGGACCCCCAAATTTGGCGAGTTCCCTTGTGGTTGTCCTTCAACTCCACCCCAAACAGGGCCCACTCAACACCAAAACACATATGGTATGCATACATATATATATATATATATACATATTAATACATATATATATATATATGTCGACATCATTCCAACAAAATGGCTTTGAGGCTAAGCTCAGAGGGAAGATGTCCCTAAAACCGCCTTCCCCAAAAAATGATGGGACTGCGCCCCGTGCAGATTGGCGCCCTCGGCCCTGGCTGCGCTTGAGCCGCGGCCAGGGGCCCAAGGAAAGCTGCTGACTTGGCGGTTCCCAGCCAAAAACCTCTCGAAAGCAATTACTATGGTCCTTGTTTGAGCACCATTCAAAATAGCATGGCACCAAGCGATTGGAAGCTTCAGGATTTGATGCTGAACCCTTTTGGGCTGGTTTCAGCACTTCCGTGCAACGCTTTCCTGCCCTCAATTTTCGTCCGGTTGCTTCCGACAGAACTTGGTGATGTGCTTTGGGGCACGGGGATCACGTGAAAGAGGCAGAGACGTGTGTCATGTAACTCATCACACGGGGACCTCAGGCTCGGTCTCGGACCTCTGGTGATGCACCAGAACCAGACCGTATTCGATGTCTTGCACCCAAAAGGGCCCAAAGGGAAGCCGCAGCAACCGCGCTGCAGATCAACAGCCCCCCGGTAAAACAGCGCAAGGGGGCAGTTATCCTCAAGGACCACCATGTTTAGAGGGATCGCCCTCTTGGTGGGCCCTATTTGAGTTGGTTCATTTGGCAGCAACTTCCAGAGCTCCTTCCTCCTTCTCCTCCTCCTTCTTATCACTCTTTGTCCTCATCGCTCCTCCTCCTCATCATCATCATGATCATCGTCATCCTATTGTCATGTTCGTGGTCAGGGTCATGGTCATTCTTCGAGTTGTGTTCCCTGGATTTTGTCATCCCGGGCTATGATATGGCTAGGAAGTTTACTCGGGAACTTCTGGTAGACATAGATCCTCATGTACATGCTATCACCAAAGGGTTGCACTGGTCAAATTCATTCCCACGTGAGCCACAATCAACATCCGCATAGTGAAGCTTAATATGGGACTTGCGCAACTATGGCTAGGGCCGCCTCGTGAATTCTCCGGCTTGGGCAGACCACTTTTACAGATGTTGATTACAACCTATATGTGCTATGGTCAACCGACCCCTTGGTAGGGATGCTGATCAAACCCCTTACGGAGTTTGAATGAAGAGGATTCCTACGAAGGCAACGATCCTCATGGCTCACGGGAATCTGACCATGGCACATACTCAGATGAACTGCGACTTGGATAAATGGTAACGAACCCCAGTTGCAAGGGTTTACAAGTGGGTTGTCTTGGGGTTGACTTGCGGCTACTACATTTCCCCTCAAACCATCACCCCACTAGCAAGGAACTTATCTTACAGGGTCCCAACAAGTGGTTTGTATAATCACCAAGAGGGAACATGCTCGTTTCTCAAAAATACAGACCCCTGGTGGTTTTAATTAATACTGATTCAAATAATACCAATAATAATAGTAATAACAACAATACATTAAGAACAAATAATGAATTTAGTTTAGATAATATTCAAGAAAGCACAACAAATTATATGAATTTTATTAAAGATAAATTAGTTGAAACGGATGGGGTAAAAAGAATTAATTGGATTAAATACTTATTAATTAATATGGCAGTTACCTTTGGTTTACACCTCACACGCAAATCGGGGACCCCAGGTTTTCAAAACACCAAAATTTCAGAACCCCTTTTCCTTGGTGCGAAATCGTCAGTCCTTTCTTCGGGGACCATGTCTCATCTGCCGATTTCGCGGCAAAAAAAAGCTCGGACTTCGGCGGTTGCCACCTAGGTCAGCTCATGTCTGAAGTGGGACAAGGGACACGAAATCCAGCGAATCCGATCGCTGTGAGAGCCTTTTGCGCGCTGTGGGGTTGGTGTCCGGTTTGGCCACTGGGTGTTCGGGGAGGCATGAAGGCAAGACCATGGTTTTTGTCAGTCTGAGGCTTTGGTCGGTGCCACGTAGGTGCCCGAAGGGCAGCCCTTCTGGGCTCTTGTTAGAAGAAAGCCGCGAAGAAACCGGGCCCCTTATTCAAGACACACCTCGTCTGTGCGGTTTCTCACAATGGACCCTGCTCGTGGTTGGCATTTAAAGCTTCAGGGAACATTTTTTATTAGAAGCCCCAGGGGTAGAGGGCACCCTTTGTGTATTGGGGCATCGATACGTCACCCACCGATTTAGGACGGGCGATGTTCGGTCAGGTGCCCTGGGTTCCTTTTTCTGGAGGGGGTGTGCTTTAAAATCAACCAAGACAAGGTCCCTTGGCAATGTCTTCCCAAGGCTGCGTTTGTGCGAGCACGGGCCGCGGCACAGGCGGGGCCAGCTGGAAGGTGGTTTTGTATTTGCGTTGTGGACAATGTTTGTTTCCGCAAGCAATCACAGCAGCGGCTTGGATCAACGAGGGTCATCTGGTTCCAAGTGAAAGGAAGTCAGACTTCATGCCGCTCCAGGGGCCCCTCGTTCGACGGGAGAACCATGTTTTTCGCAGATCCATGGAGGTATTGTTCTGGGCGGTTGAAGCAGATTTAGGTGACATGCTTTGGGGGAACCCGTTTGTGAGCCTCCAGTCTCAACGGGCTCATTTAGTTTCATCCAACTGTTTAGGGGGGAACTGGTTTTCCTTTTTGGCATCGCGTTGAACTCGAAAAGTGTATACTCGAAGAAAAGACGTTGGGCACTGCCTTCTCCTATTCAGCCTATTGGAATAAGTCTCAACTGGTTCCTATTTGGGTGTTTCCAGACACCCCAGTTTAGTTTGTTGATCAAGCCAAATGTGAAGACAGCGGGAACACATCCAACGGCAAGCCCTAGCGCTGGTTGACTCTCGGACACGGCTCGACCGGTTGTATGGTGGCTGGTTGAGGAAGGCACCTGCTGACAGTGGGAGGTGGCAAAAGGCAAACCCTGTCAAGCCGAAGGGTTGGTGACATGCCCGAAGGATTCAAAATGGGTCAAACGTGTCTCATCATTTCTTGAAACGCCTATTCAATCAAGCAGAAGTATGCCTACCTGGTTTTGGGGACGAGCCAATGATTATCCATTTTACCACAAAACAACGAGCAACCGCCGTTTCACGCGAGTTTTCCATGCGCCAGATGGCTGTGAGTCAAAAATAGGTACCCAACATGGAACCCAGGTAAATGGAAACATGGACCAAAACCTGCGGTCCCCTGGCGGCTTTATTTTGACCCATACCCAGATGAAGCCATGTGGGTTGCTGAGAGTTCAGGTCGCTGCTGAGGCGGAGGCCTGTGATTTGGTCTGGGTCGGGGGCCGATGCGTTGGATGGTTTCGAACGGATGGGTTGGCTGTGAATTTTGACGGACCCTGTGGTGGACATCTTTGAGGCGGGGTTTCTGTCCAACAGCCACTTTTTGGCGGGGTTCCGTTTTTGGCGGGGAAGAGCAAACGAGCAGAAGATGTCCAGTTACCCACTTGCGGGCACACCAGCAAGATGGAGGTGTACAGTCACCGGCCAGTTGCACACATGATTGGTCCTTTGGGGCAAGCTAGAACCCGTGTAAAGCCAGTTTGTCTCTGAGTGCGGGAAGGGTTCCCTGTTTCAGGATCAATGTTGCGGGATTTCATCTTTTTCCATACACTTTCTGCGGCCAGAGAATCCCCTCTCAGAACATGGACGGCCCATTTCGATATAGAAGGACACTGTCCACAGCCAAGTCCTTGGGCCCTATCCTCGAGGCACAGAATTAGGTTTCTCTCTCAACTGAGAGGTGAGGTCCCGTGGCAGCCTTCAACGCGACCTCTGGACCAACAAGAAACGTGTTTTTTCTGGGAGGAAGCAATGCCCACAAAGCACAGGACCCCGAACCCCTTGCTCCCTTCGATAAATTGCAAGCGGGCGTATTGAAGCCGTGGGTTTCGCATTGAGTCAATGTTCTTTCAACTCGTGATCACTGGGCTGCGGGACACTGGGACACCAGGAGGCCAGGATAGGTTTGCTTGCAGTTGTTTGACTCATCGGAGCGCTTCGGGTGCACGGCCACATCCAGTGCGATGCAAAGGCAAAGCCACTTCGGTGCCTAAGTTTGGCAGATCAGCCGCGACTACGTGTTTGTTTGTGTGTTGTTTTCACCTGGTTGCGCACTTGCGAAACCCGTGGAGACTTGGTCGATCTTGGTCGCTTGTGTTTTGGATGGGCGAACCTCGTTTACCAAGGGCTTGGATGTTAGCAACAAATGGGCTATCCGCAAATGTCTCTGCCCATATCCACTTCGCGCCAGAAGCCGTATATATGATCGGGACAAACCACCAGAGTTTCCACGACCCTTCAAACATGGCTGCTTGACTCAAAATGAACATCACCTGCGTGAACTAAAGACTGCATGAACTAAAATGAACGAAACTCCTATGACCAAAATTTAGCTCAGGCAAAACTGCATAACTTCAAACATGAATGACCCTAGGGCCCTTTCTTTTGGCGCCAAGGCGATTGCCAGCCCGGAGGCCGCGAGCCGCGAGCTCCCGTGGCCCCCAGACCTCCCAGAATTCGGTCGGCACAAACGAGCGGCTGCGTTGCCGAACCTTCTCTCAGAGAGCGGTGGAGAGAAGGGGGTGTCCTTTATTTTCCGTAGTTTAAACATCACCTTGGCCCAAAACATCACCTTCTTGGCCCACTTGGCCAAAAACATCACCTTGGCCCAAAGGTGTACCAAGGCTGTCTTTAAGAGGAGATATAGGGAGGCATGGAGAAAGCAAATGCAAACTAATACCTTTGATTTGGAGTGCCGACAAGATCTTATCATTGACAGAAAGCAATGCGTTTTTGGTGTACCTTGCAAATGCTGGATAGATACGAAAAGAGATGAAAGGCTTGTGTTCTGCAGCCCATCACATGCTCTAACACGACGTAAAAAAAACAATTCTGCCAACGGATAGAACCCACGTCATCAGGATGTATACAAACTCGTACATGTATGACTTTTCAGTGGATCCACGGCCTGATTGCTAGACGTCGTTTTTGCCCAGTCGGGCTGTGCGGCCAACAAGGGAGTTGTATCCCCACTAATCAAAGGACACTCCTCCCCTTCGGGTTCGTTTTAAGAATCAACTTATTCATTCTGGCTGCAAAAAAAATCAACCTTCCGCGTCATGTGTGCATGACTTGACAGGCCCCACCGCCGCAGCCACACCCGCCGAAGGCTCGGATTTTGGGTGGTTCACTTGGCCTACAGCAGGGCCAGGTTTGTTTCTTGCCTGAGTTGGGTGTGTGCTCGGAGACGTTCTACAGACCACAGGGTAGAAAGTTGGTGAGGTTTTTGCGTGGCCTTCCTTTTCAGAAGCGATACACGAGGCCCAGTAATCTAGCTCCGGCTTCCGCACCCCTGCGCTTCAAGGCCGGCGCTGCTCAGTATGTGGCTGTGGGTCAAAACCAATGGTACCATTTTGGGGTAGGTGCACCACTCATTCTAGTGAATTTTGGCGGGGATTGGGATGTTCACTGGGGGTACGATTTGGCTGTTGACCCATGGCCATGTTGACCCATGATTGACAGCCCAAGCTATGTCGCAGAAGGGGATGCCTGTTTCAAGCGGCGCCCAAAGCAAAGCACTTTGCAACCATTAGAACCAATGGTTTGTGGGTTTTGGGGGTTCCTTCATAGGCTGGTTGGGTCTCGGTAGGCCTCCGTGTCCCAAGCCGGTGCAATTTGGTGGTATATCCCCATGTTGGAAGTCGAGAGTTTGGGCTTGGTGGGGTAGCTACCAACCTTTGAACATTGTCAATTCTACTGAGATCGTTCTGATATTTTCTCCAGATGTGTCTTGGAAGGGGGGGTTCGGGATCCAAAACGATAGGTATAGTTGTCCGTCAGGATTCCCTTTCAATTATCCCCAAAGAGTAGCCTCAAAAATCACGAACTCAAAAAATCACGTTGTAAAGCTTCATATGGTTGTGTCTTGTTGGCACTCCTTTTTGGTTTGGCTCCACGAGAAGCCAAAGCAGTAGACCTCCAACGGGTTGCGGCTGAGTGCGTGTCAGGCGCCGCCTTCGAAGCGTCAGAGGGTGAGCAGCGTGTGCAAGGCCAGGCTGCTCCCCGAGTATGCCGATTCTTGTTACACTGGATTCTTCCACATCTCAGTTCAAATCGAATCGACCTGATCTGACCTTTTGTTTTGTTTTTTCCTCTTTTTTTTCCGGTCCAGTTGTAGTCAAGGTTGCGAAAGGTTAGTCTCTTATTTCCAGGTCTTTTGGGCAATTGAGACGAGGGGGTATGCAACATGAGAACTTATGCCAAAATCTGAGAACCTGCCAACCACCACCCACAGAAACTGCAGTATGCAAGCCTTGTATACTGATCATATGCTTGCTTCCTCGAAAGATTGGATTTTTGGTAAATCCACACAGGACATGAGTATGACGGCTGCTTATGTTAAATAATACATTTATATATATATATATATACCTAGGACCTCCATTGTGTGTAAAATAACTGCTTTTTCAGAAATATCTGCTTTTTCACCCCTGCGAGCGCTTTTCAAATTTGCGAGCGTTTTTCCTAATCATGGAATCTTCGATAATTCTGCAACTTCTGCACTCATGATTTTCGCGAAAAAAACGGATTTTGCCGGTCAAAAAGCGGATTTTGCCGGTCAAAAAGCGGATTTTCCTGCCATTGAATACGCTGCCCGCTCCAGGAAAACTATGGA